GAGAGAGTAGAGAGTGTGAAAATTTGTTTGTCTCTGGGTCAGAGGACACACCCAGTGTGTGTTTGTGCAACTCACTGTCTGTGTACTCACTGTTTCTCTCTCTCTCTCTCTCTCTCTCTCTCTCTCTCTCTCAGTACACCTGTCTTCTTCTATTATCCATCTATTATCGTGATTTTCTTTTCTCTCTTCATGTTCTGGCTCTGAGCTGCTGCTGTGTATGATTGTCCAGGCCGTAGGTGAAGCCGGGGGCTCAGGTGGACGGCTATCCAGTGATGGGCTGCTCTATGCCTGCCGTGAGAGGGCTGAGCAGCTGGAGGTGTGTCTGGAGAGAGCACAGGTCAGCCTAGAGAGGTCGAGACAGCAAGCACAGGATGCAGCCATGCAGCACTGCATTGAACAACAGCTTCACAACTGCCAGGTGATCATACACACACATATACCTGCATTTCAAAGGTCAAGGAAATGTTTTAATATTTTATTTATCTCTGCGCATGATAAAATGTATATTGAGGTTATTATAGTTAACTAAAACCATTTGAAAAAAAAAAAAAAAGTTAACTGCAATAAAATAAAATATAAAAACTTCAACCAGGGCAACATTTCTCTAAATTCATTTACTAAATTAGTGTACTAAAATGACTAAAACTGAAATAAAAATTACTAAAAACGATTCTGACGTATTGACATAAAGGAATGACAAAACACACACACATATTCTCTGCCTGCTGTTGTTGCTGATACTGACTCAACAGGACAGGAAGTGCTCAGAGCTGAGATCTGTCACACATTGAGCCTGGTTATATATTTGGCTCTGTTAAAAATAAAGTTGCCTCTAAACCTGCCATAAGTATTATAGACCAATCTGACACTATCATACTATCTTCTTCTAATGTTTCTGTCTGTAAAAGTAGAACTGTTCAGTTCTTTAAAACTTTAGAAGACTTCATTATCAATTTCTGTAGAAATCAGTTCTCTCCTATATAATCAAGTCTTTCACTTTTTCTTGGTGCCTTGCTCTTTCAATGTCTGTCTTGTTCTGCAGGGTTTTACAACTGTGAACTCTTTTACTGCTCGGAGATCAAAGTGGGTTTGCCGATGACAATAATCACAGGTCACAAGCTCAGATCTCATGATGTACATTTAAACACAATGGAGTAATTTGTTTATGATTGATAGACTCTCAAAATGTATTTTAACTATTAGAATTTTGGTTAGACTGAAAATGTATTATTTGTTTAGAATAATAGTTGCAGTGTACAAAAATACTTATCGGGAGCAGATTAGATTAGGTTTCAGTGACTGTGGAAACAAAATAATTATTTTATTTTATTGTCTTATTTGATGATGGATAACTGCTTTTGTTCTTAATGCTACAGTACATCACTGCAGTTAAATCTTTGCACTTAAATGCTTACAGTTACATGCTTATATTTGTGTGTTTATAAGCATTAGGAATGTAAATGCACAGTAAGTGAGTGAGTGGGACAGTATATCATGGCTCAATGAACCAAATAACATGAGTCTGTTATTTACTTTTCGGGTGGAGTGAAGACATATCAATGTCTGCTTCTTTCTTTCCTTTCTCTCTCTCTCTCTCAACCTATTTAATTATCTTTTAAACACATGCATGAGCATGTCTGCATACCCACACAGTACTTTATTTCAGATGCATGAACGTGTCAATGCATCATGAATTTCAACTTCTCTTTTCTTAAGGAAACTCTCTATGCAGATATTTCAGTTATCGAGTGCTCACTTTCATTCAGATTAAAGTTATTTGACGAGAGAGATAGCTGGCGATAAATCTTGCTTATCTGTCAAGTACTGATGCAATACTTTTTTTTCTACCAGTTCCTTATAAGTTTTCCTTTTAAATGAAGTAATTTAGCCTGTCAAATCTTTTTCAGTGTGTCTTAAAAACTAAAATTTATACAGATGTTTATGCTCCTCTCATTTATAGAGTTTGCCATTGAACTTTCAGTCTCGTGCTGTTTGGAGGTGGTCATGTGTCTCAGTAATGCAGTTAGAGCTAATATTAATGTGACATTAGCAAGGTTTGCTAGCTTCTACCAGATTAAAGGTGTGGTCATGCTAGACTTTGGACATGCAAATTTACTTTCTATCTTACAAGAAATGGGCAACAGGATATGATGTGCACCATTTATTCTTTATATTTAGACATTTGACATCATTTTAAAGTGGTTGAACCAGATATGCAGTACACTTACTTGTGTGTGTGTGTGTGTGTGTGTGTGTGTGGGTGTGTAACCCGACTCCTTCATCAAAGATTCAGAGATTCAGCTGAGTCCCAGCACAGTGACCTGGTAAACTGTTATAACTACCACTTGAACACACCAACAGCCATCGTATGCAGGAATCAATCAGCCTGTAGAAAAATATATCTGATCATTTGTATACATTTGGTTCTGGTCAAGAATGTGTTAAAGGGATAGTTCACCCAAAAATTACAATTTTGTGATCATTTTCTCAACCTCATGTCGTTTAAAACCTATGGAAGTTGGTTTCCACCAAGGAATTTAAAAAATATAAAAAGTAATTGTGACTTTTTATCTCACAATTCAGACTTTTTTCTCCAAATTCTCTGAAAAATAATCAGAATTGCGAGATATAAACTCAGAATTGCGAAGTGTAAACTGCAAACTCAGAATTCAGGGGGAAAAGTCAGAATTGTAAACTTGGAATTGCGTGTAATAACGTTTATATTGTAATTCTGACTTTTTTTCTCAGAATTGCGAGCTTATATATACAAAATTGCGTGGAAAAAAAGTGTGATGTGTGACATATAAACTCAGAATTACAAGAAAAAAGACTGAAGTACAATTACCTTTTTAACTTTTTTTATTCCGTGATGGAAACAGGCTTCCATAATAGCCTGCATAACTTACTTTCTTCTGTGGAACACAAAATAAGATATTTTGAAGAATGTTGGTACCAAACAGTTTTGATGATCATTGGCTTCTTTTCCTAAGACACAAAAACACTGAGACACATATTCTCAAAAAATATTTTTTTTATGACAAATTATGTGCTCTATGTGCTCAGTGTTTGCTGCAGGATGTACAGGTGGACAGACACTGATCGATCCCAATCTAAAGTCTGTGTGTTGGATTATTAATGAGATTTTTGTTCATATTTATTTTTCTAAGAGCAAGCGTTGTGTAAAATGTGTCAAATGGTGCATTAAACACCTGTCACCTGCCTCTGAGCCCTGCTAGTTCATACTCTAAGGTGGACTCTGATCTTTGTGGTGTTTATTACTTTTGATTGATTGTATTTTCTCTATTGTGAACCTCAGCCTTAATAGGTATTTTTTTGTAACTTCTTGTTGTCAGTATGAGTGTATTGGTTGTGTTAAGAGTGATTTAGAATTTAGTTTGAGTGTGTGTTGATTTGAAAATGTATTGTTTTGCATCCATCTAGACAATCCTGGTGGAAATTGAAGGGAAGATCTCCAGTCTTCCTGTGTGTGGATTAAAGGAACAGGAGCGACATGAGGCTGAATCGCTCAACACCAAACTCCAACTGCTGAAGAACAGACTGGTTACGGTCCAATTACAGCTGCAAGAGAGACACGGCGAAGATCAGGTACACACACATCTACTAATATAACCTATTTAGTCTGATACCAATTAAAAATGTCTGTTTTTTTATGCTGGGGACAGCGTAACTCAGGTGTAATGAGGACCTTAATGAACAGATTGCATGTGATGACAGAAAGTGATCATTAGCATGCTAATTGCGGCTGATTTTCACATTTGCCGATTCTGTGTTATGTTTCTGTCTCTGTGTGTCTGCAGGTGCATGTTGAGCATCAGCGGCCCCTGCGGGCCAGGATGACACGCAGCAGCAGTGTCCAGGAAATGTTGAGTTCTTCCAAAACCAAACTGTTCAGACAGAGCAGCCTTCAACAACAAAGGGTAACACACACATTTATTCACACACTTTAAAATATTAGTTTTTCTAACACCTTTTTTGAAAAATTTGTCTCTCCAGGTTTTTTTTTTACTAGCCTATAGAGGGATTAGATTTTTTTTCTTGCCCTGACAATATTTCCACTTACTCTACCATTAACGCAGATTTTATTTTGGGTGGTTGGTAAGGTTTGTTTAATGGCTGCTTGTATTTGATAAAAAATACAGTAAAATTCAGCTAAAACTGTAATATTGTGAAATATTTTTACAATTTAAAATAGTTTTTTTATTTTAATATATTTTAAAATGTAATTTATTCTTTTGTTGGCAAAGCTGAATTTTCAGCAGCCATTACTCCAGTCTTCAGTGTCACATAAGAAATCATTCTAATATGCTGATTTGGTGCCCAAGAACTCATTTATTCTTATTATAAAAGGTCTGCTTAATATTTTGAGGAAACCGTTATACATTTAGGATTCTTTGATAAATAGAAAGTACAAAAGAGCAGCATTTATTTGAAATAGAAATCTTTTGTAACATTATACTGACACTTTTGATCCTTGCTGAATAAAAGTATTAATTTCTTTTCAAATAAGTCCTACTGAACCCCAAACTTTTGAAGTAGTGTATATTTTTGATTTCACATTTCAAGTTAAAATTAAATTAAATTAAATTAAATTAAATTAAATTAAATTAAATTAAAATAATAATAATAATAATAATAATAATGTACTAGGTTTTTAATTAGCAAAAAAAGAGGATATTATAAAGGTACTATGTAACTCCATGACAGCTATATTTTCATACACTTCTGCTGGAAAATTAGGCCTAAATTACAAAACACTACTGATTTTTAACCTATTCTAATGCTTCTAAGACTATAACATGTCATATTGGTCCATCATTATCATTGCTCTCTCACGATCTTTTTTTCTCTGTTTAAGGAACTGAAGGATGGTTTGAATGAACAGAGGGATCTAACTAAAGCTATCGCAATTCAAGGCAGCAGAGCTCGAGCACACAGCCAGAGTGCAGACGAACATGCAGGGTATCTAAATACACACCCCTATTAGTACAAATATATGCTTACACTTTGTAACCATATAACACTCCCTGATTGTCTGCAGCCCCTCGCCAGCAAAAGAGAATGAAGACAAGAGACAGGAAGTAGAGTTATCAGTCCACAGGAAGTGGACACACCTCTGCAGCAGATTGGTCAAGACAGCAGAGACCGAGCAAGATCAAGATGGAGATAAAGATCAGGATCCATCTGAGGTCTGAACACTTCAGATTCTTTTTGTTTTTTTCAAATGTTTATTTGAAGGTTCTACCCCTAGTGTTTAATGTGTAGTTATTTTAATGTGTTAGTTATTTATATTTAAGCAATCTAACGTATCTGTGTGTGTGAACAGATCCTCGCTCCATCTGTCTGTTTGTGGAGTGGAGCTGCTGTTTCTCTCTGTCTGCAGGAGATTCAGTCCAACATCTCACAACTTAAAGAACTGCAGAAGTCAGCAGATACTCAGGTGTCAATAACAAACACACATACCACACAGGGTTACTGTTTATAACACTTTAAACAGATAGAATAGCGTACACTCTCTCTTCAAGATCAGAGTACACACTCTCAATATTGTCCAACCCGGATATAACAGAATTATATTTAACTGATCTGTCTGGGTGTCTGTGTGCAGGATCATCAGTCTCTGGATGAAGGTCTGTTTGAGGTGTTGAGTGGAGTGGATCTCAATCTCAGCTCTCTCACACAGACTCTCATGTATCAATCAGCAACCTCAAACACTGACATACTAAACCAACTACAACAGCTACAGGTCATTGGTCTGTCTGTCTGTCCATCAATCCATCAGACCATCTGTCTGTCCCTTCATTACTCCTCATTTCTACTCTGATTTATAGGGTTTATCTGCAGAGCTGACCTTCTTGGGTGCCATATTGACCTCCCAGGGGTCAGAGGTCATAAAGCTGTTAGGTTCGGGTTCAGCGATATCAGAGACCTCCACTTGTTTTGACCTGCTGATGCAGCGTGTATGTGACATTCAAAAGACTCTCGCTGATAAACAGGAGCAGCTACAGGAACTAATAAAACACACGACTCAGCTGCAGGTCAGACTTTTATCTGCTTATTACCAACAGTCACTTAAAAAATTTCCTGCAGTTTAGGTTACTAGACACACTAAATGGTTCAGAAAATTGATGCTTATGTGTTTACAGTGTTATGTGTCAGCAGTTACATTTTTTCAGGTTTTAACACCACAAACCTTCGGATATCTGGCCTTCATAACTGTCACACTTGTTTGTTATGAAAAATCTTGTGTCATCATAATGTCAGACATAATGTTCTTTTCAGTCTCATGTTTAATCCCATAATTCTACCTCTTCATTTAAGATGAGCTAGATGTATTTAAGGTCTTATTTTAATCTTTTTTTGTACTCTTATTTTGACCTTTTTTGTAAAGTATGACTCAATTGTAATATTTCCATGTGTGTCAAACCTTCAGAAGAGAGTGAAAGACCTGCATGACTCAGTACTAACTAACACGTCAATCCTTCACCCTACAACTAACGGAGAATCCCACCATGACCTTCACACACAGCTGCAGGTAAGACACGAGCCTGTCAATAACACTGCCTGTAACACCTCACGCTACTGAAGAAGTAACACTCTTCTACATATCTGCAAGAAAAAAATGCTGATGTCTTCATTGTACATTTGCTGACTTATATTTATGCATTTTATAAGTTTCTACAATTTTGTAGCATTTAAATTTTTCCCCTGAAGACCACTCATAATGCTAGTCAGGGTTTCTTGCACCAGAGACAGTCGTACTTTAGTTTTTCTTATTAGTTCTGATCCACTCATTTGATTGGACAAGCATCATTTCAGGAGTGCAGGTATGTTATGTTCTTCCTATTAGGTCTTAATTGCGCTTGAAGTCTGAGATTTTGACTTTTTCTCTACCTGTGATTCCATGTGAAGGCCATCACTGGAAGGAAACAGGAAGTGGAGCAGAGTGAGAGAGAGCTGGCAGAACTTAGAGAAGAGACAGAGAGTCGAGATCAGCCCTCGTCCCTCACACAGCAGATCAGCACACTGGAGGTATGGGTGTGCAGCATTCAGAATTTACTATAAAATGCCTTTCAAATTCCAATTCCTGGTAGCCAGCATGAGACACAATTGAAATTGAAATCTAAATTGACAGTAGATGAGTTAAGTAGAATTAAAATAGAATTACTGACAAAAATGTCAATGTTATGTAAAGCAAATGCTGTAAGTGTAGTTTTTAAAACTTATTACAAACTTATTCTTTATTAATTTAATAATTATTAACATGTTACAATACAAACAATATATACATTACCTGATATTAATAATTGCAATGCCACTTATACATTTTTTTTTACACAATATAATGAAATAAATACAGTACCTTTCAAAGGTTTTTTTTTTCCTTATTCAGCAAGGACACATTACAGTTTTTCTCAATTGCTCTGGCTCAATTCTTGAATGAGAGTTTTTTTTTTTTTCTCAAAACAAAAAGTTCAGATGTCTGAACAATTAGTTTCTTGTTCATATCAGATTTCAATTTCTTATTGATTTAGGCAAATTGCATATGTTTTGGCACATGTGTGCAAATGAGTAAGTACAATTCTCTACAGTTTGCACAATAACTAAATACATATGGCTTGTTGATCAAAACTGATGAGTTTATTCTCAATGAAATTGTCAAACTCTTTACAACTACAAAACATTCTTTCATTGTGTGAGCCATCACATGCAAAATGATCCATTCAATTATCAAAATCTGTTAGACATGCATTTATATTCCATAAATATCTGACATGGAATGGTTGTAATGTCTGCTAAGTTGGCAAATGGCTTGCCATTAGGGTTGCAAAGGGGCAGAAAATTACTGGAATTTCCAGAATTTTTGGAAACTTTCCAGGATTTTTTGGAAACTTTTGGAATAATTTTGTAAATATTGCTAAACCTTTGGAAAGTTTTCGTAAATTTACCAGAAAATTTCCACCCCTTTGCAACCGTACTTGTCATTGTAATGAAATAGGGATCACAATCTTGACAATCAATCAAGTTAGGAAGCATATACTGTATATGGAGTTTGCCCAGCACAATCACTACCATTTTTGAACAAGGAGGAAGGTCACAACCCTAAACAGCAGTACTATATAAATACATTTATATTTGTACAGTACATTTATCTGTAGAAATGTGTTATATGTAAACTGAAAATTCACAGTTGCTTGTTGTGGAAGAGCAATAGAAATATTTGTAAGAATGTGTGGTGGTGTTAGGGGAAGACGATAAATTGTTTAAAAATGAATAGGCATTGATGAATTTTCAGTTTACAGGTAACGCATATCTACAAAAATAAATGTACTGTATAAATACAAATTTTCATTTTCTTTTTGTGTACTACAGTATTGACGTTTCCCAATACATTTTTTACCTACTGTTGAAATTTGTATCTAAAATGCTCAGTGCTCAATGTCAGCTCAGACTGACATTCTTGTACAGTACAGAAAGCAGTCTGTCAACAGAAAAGTAGAAAAAAATACTTAAGTTAAATTTGCATATAACAAATATGAAATTGCAAAAAAAAAAAAAAAGTAAATTTTCATATAACAAGAAATGAAATGAAATTTGCAAAAAATAAATAAATAAATTCCTTGTGTGTTTGCACACACTTGGCGAATAAAGCTTGATTCTGATTCCGAAAAAAACATCTAAACATCTTGGCTCACACGATGACTTTGGTGGCATTGGCCAAGTCACTGACACAATAACTAGGTTTTGAAGCATGAATTAAATGTTTTGGGTGAGTTACAACATTTTGCAGACATGCAATAGAGTTCTGATGTTCCAGAAAACAGTTGTGACAATTGCGTTTACAGTTTAGAGAATGTTAAGACTGTTTCGAAAAATGTGCCAAAGCAATTGAGAAAAACTGTAAATTGATCAAAGTGCCATTTATTAGTGCCATTACAAAATATTAGGCAGCACACTTTATAATTATAAGAAATGTTTCTTGAGCACCAGCATATGAGAATGATTTCTGAAGGATCATGTGACACTGAAGACTGGCTGCTGAAAATTGTAAAATACACTCTCTGTAGGCAGTATTGGACAGTGTTTGGAGTGATCTAGAGCAGCGCTGTGGAGTTGTGCAGTGGGGTCTAGATGAGCAGAAGATGAGTGAAAAAATCCTGAAGGGTCTGCAGATGCTCCTGACTATTGGAAGAGAGAAACTCACCTGCACCTCTCAGCTGGAGCTCAGGAATCCAGCACAACTACAGACACACCTCAACAAACACACGGTAAACATATCACACACCTTCAAACACCCTAACTAAATGCACACACACATAAAGCCCTGAAAACAAATAAGTAAATCAGCTACACAAATACATAAAAAAAAAAACACACACACACATTATATCACACATGAATCATGCACAATATAGCACAGGTCCTGCAATCTCTCATTCACCTCCCTAACTTTGTAAATCTACAGGTGTTTTTCCTGTCTCTGGGTGCCCACCTGAGGAGATTGCAGCAACTGAGTGTGCGGATGCCAGACAGCGCCTCCTCTGGCTGGGAGACTGAAGTGCCTGAAGTGGAAAGTGAAGTATCCAGTGTTCTGCAGCAGGCTCAGGCTATCGGCACAGTGCTGCACTCAGCACTGCAGGTACGAGAGTGTGTGAATCAAGAAATCATGTGGAATGACACTTATTACAGTTTTTCTGTATGGAAAGCTGCATCAACCAAGAAGATACAAGAATGGAAAAGAGATTGATGTATAAATAAAAGAACAAACAAATGGGATTGATGGGTGCATGAATAAAAGAACTGGTAGACTGAATGTTCAGAAGCAGCTTTTATTATATTTTTAGTTAATACTCCTCTGCCCTTGATAAGGACTTTGATGTATTTCAGGTTTGCACTCAGTGGGATGAAAATCATTCCTGGTTAGAAACGCTTCTGCAGAGGCTAGAGACTCAAGTTCCAGTAACACCTCTGCAGGACCAAACTGAGGAGCAGCTCAGCGAGAATATTTCTGTCCATCATGTAATGGTTTAAACTTATATATAGTGAACTGACACACATATATACCTTTAAATAAGAATGCAGCAATATTTGAAGATCCCTGATCTCCACTTGTTGTCTGTGATAGAGTGTGTTGGCGGTTCTGGAGCAGAACAGACCTCGGATCAGTCTGGTTCTGGATGAGGGCTGCAGACAGCAGGAGCAGATTTCTAGTAGTGAAATATATATATACATATTGGGTGTGTCTACAGCCAGACTGGAGCAGCGATTGGCTGCACTTCAGAGGAAGGTGGAGCAAGGGATACACTCCACTCTCCATCTTAAGAAGCTTTGGAACAGGTAAAAATGAATGATGTGGGTAAAATTAAGCCAGCCAGATTTTTCACTCTGAAACCATTCTTGCCATTTCTTTACACAATATGCATAATTTTATTCTATCTCAGTCTGATTTTTAAAATCACAATATTTTCAGTCTTATGTACTCACTTAAATTATGTTTAATAAGGGAGAGTTGTGTAGAAACACTGAGAGATGGAAACGTACAGAGGAAAAATATAAAGAATTACCACTACACTTTTTTCCAGGTACCAAAGCGATTCAGAGGCTTTGAATGAGTGGATGGGACGAGCCAGAGAAAGCCTCCATACATGGAGAGATCACATGACCACAGCTGAACAGGAAGTGGACACCCTCTCCCATTTTCAGCACTTCACAGTCAGTCAACCAGTGATTCTAATCATTCATTTTTAGTTTATATTATTTTGAACAATAAGATGATTAAAAACTTGATGACTATAGCTACATAAAACCTTCTTTTATGCATGTTAAATACATATTTATTACAATTAATGAACAATAATTTTAATAGGTTTAGTTTTAATGATGACAACACTGGTTATATTAGGAAATTTTTGTAACTGTGATGTTTTTGACGCAGGAGTTTGTGAAGGAGCTAGAGGTGAAATCGGCCCTAAAGGCATCAGTGATCAGTTCTGGATCTTTGATCCTGTTGCTCGGTGAAAGAGAGCAGAACATTGAGACACAGACCTACAAGCCAAGTGAAACTAGCAACTGCACATCTGTAGATATCACCCTTCCTTCAGAAACCAATGTTTCTTCTATTCAAAACATCTCCTCAGAAGAAACCCTTTCTATAACAGAAGGATCAGATGCAAACATCACAAATGAAGGTGCTGTCTTTGAGGAACCAACCGCATCTGCATTTGATTTATCTGTAAAACAAGAGATGGTTCTGTCACCAGTTCTCCTGACTCTGCAGTCCCAGCTGTCTCAAGTGGAACAAGACTGGGTGGAGATACAGACACTCATTCCTGCCATCCAACAGGAACTGCATCAGGTACATCATTACTAACTGCTCCCTGGATAGTTGGAAAGAAAGACCTGTCAGTTTCATGTTCTTCAGTTTGGAGCTTTGTCTCTCTGAGGGAGAACATCATGTATAAAAAGTTATCATGGAGGTCAGGCAGCCATCCAGGCATGATTTCCTGTATTACTCAGAAGTTGATGACATCTTTGAGTAATAGAGTCTGTCCTTTGTTTTTACTATCCATTATCTGGTCTCTCTTTCTTGTTCTCATCCCCTTTTTCTTCTTTGATTACATGTGTCACCCCTAACCCGGCTCCACTGTTTTCTTTCTTCTCTATTCTCTCCACCTCTGTCTATCACTTTCATCTGTCTTTATTCCCATTCTGTGTTCTCTTTCTCTCTCTCAGAGTGTAGTGGAGAGCCTGTCTCCTGAAGGACTGCTGGCTGATGTGTGTGGCTGGATTACAGGTGCTGAGAGCAGGTTACAGGCGGCTGAACGAGAGGATCACAACACCTGTACTGCTGCAGTGTTCACACACCTGCTCAGAACATATCAGGTACCTTGCTCACATTTTAATCTCTGTATCAATTAAAAAGTATAATTAGCAAATAAGATAATTATCTTTGATTAAACATCAGTGCAAAATAACAGATTATTTTTCTTTTAAAAAAAGTGTTGTACAAAGAAAACAATACTGAAATAAAATACAGTTAAATAAAGTAATAAAATATAATGCAGAGTACACTTAGCTTAGATAAAGAACACAATGAAAACGGAATGAAAATAACTGAAATAAAAATGTGCAAGTGTAATTAACTCTCTCTTTCTTTTCTCTTATAATTTCAGTTTGTGCTTTGTAAGTGAAGTGCAAAGTAAAACTTAGAAAGTAACATTCAGCAAATAGCGTTTATAATTTTGTTCAGTGTATATATATAGAGAGAGAGAGAGTACATTAAACAAGAGCAATTAACCTTTTCTCTCACTATCTATTTTATTGAATTTACTGAGGGGAAGTAGTTTTAACTTTCAGCAACTTTCTTTTGGATTTACCTCTCTTATTCTCTTTCTGTCTAGGGGATGAAGAGAGAGATGGCATGTCAGCAGATGTCTGTTGACTTTATTAATCAGTGTGAGCTGAAGCAGGTCAGTTTTGACTCTCACACCAGCAGGTACAAACACACTGCATTTGCTGAAAACCTGGGACACGTCAATCTGCGCTGGAAAACTCTACGGGTTCACCTGAACACACAGGTGAGTAGTTTATTATTATTATTTATTATTATTCCAGAAACCAATACAGATTAACATAGTGTGTACTGTGTTTTTCAGATCCAACATGCTGAAGATCAGGTGAGGATATGTGCAGAGCGAGATAGCAAACTACAAATCCTGCAGCGCTGGGTCAAAGGTCAAAAACAATGGATGCGACTGGCTGAAAGACCCATCAGTCGCTCATTTGCTGAGAGGAGCCTGAAGGATTGTGAAGTGAGTCGCTGATGTTTTCTGATTGTGGTAACTGATTATGTTGATGCTCACATACCTTTAAAACTTTCAAAAGCTTTTCAGTTTTGATTTGAATTTATTTATATTACATTTTAGAGGACGTTTACTTTTCTTTCTTTCATTCTCAGGAGCTGGGGGAAAAGTTGAAGTACAAATTCGCAGAACTCGCTGAGCTGGGGAAGAGGACACTTACCGCTGATGAAGAAGACAGGGATAAAGACTTCCTCTCAAAAGTTCATAATCTTTCACAATCTTTGACTGACCTCTCTCAACAGGTATGGAGACAGAAACTTGTTCCTGTGAGTTAAAACAAAACCGTCAAATATTTATAAACACTCTTTGAGTGCATTTAATTAGGAATTTAATCATAAATGTTCATTTTCTAGAGTACAGTCCTTGGGAATACCTTGAAAGAGCTGTGTGAGGTGTGGGCTCAGTTTGAAAGTGGGAGGAGTCAGGCAATTGTAAACACAATGAGGATCTGCCAATCACTGGAGTACTGCCACGCCCCTCTGCCCTCCCTCTCTGCCCTCCAGAACAACATTGATAAGCTACAGGTGCTATCAATCACTGTTTTTTTCCCCAAGCTGTTTCTGATTGGTCACAGTATGAAATATTTTATTATATTTAGATATGTGATAACATATATGATTGCATTAGAGATTTTTTTGGGGGGGAATTTTGTCAAATTTGTTAACTTAAGAGTAAACCTTTGGCTTGAGAGAGATACTTATTATGATGTATTCTATATTCACAAATTATTGTTTGCAGGTCTTAAAAGCAGAGACAAAGGAGATTGACAGCCAGTGGGAGGATCTTACCAAGACAACAGCAATTCTTATTGGTGGAATTAGTACAGACTCCACCCAGATGTTATTGGAGCACCTAGAAAAAGAAAAAGCAAGGTTAGACTTCCCACATACCAGCAAAACAATGTGAATGTGCATGTAAATGTTCGAGCTAATACACTTTGTATCACCCTCTAGGTGGTCAGAGGTGAAGGAAAAGGTAACAAAGGCGTTGCAGAGATCACACAGTCTTCTGAAAGTGTGGCAGAAATACTCTGATGTGAGACGCTCCTGTTCAGAGCAGCTCCAACATCTCAAAGAGCAGCTCAACACGCATACCAAAACACCCGCTGACAATAAACAACTCACACACAGCATCGCAGAGCTGAAGACTGTGAGTACAATGCAAAGACAGATAACCACAGATAACCATCCATTTAAATACACAAACTAAAGTGGGGTCCAAAAAGTTTCAGACTACACTGAAAATCTGGGATTTTTTAAAACCAGAATAGTTATGATTTTATAATATAATATAATATAATATAATATAATATAATATAATATAATATAATATAATATAATATGATATAATAAAGTATTAAGAATGAATAAAAGTATTAAGAAAGAGTACAAAAGACTTTTGGACTGCATTACAGTATATGTGACAGACTGTGTTATTGTCTTATTTCCTTCTTTTAGGTATTACAGAAATGCTCAGAGACTCTACAGACTGATGTGAATGAAATGCTTGAAGTGTCTAAGGATCTGATTGAACAGATGGATGATGAGGATGCAGTTTTCATCCGATCAGAATGCCGTTTGTTAACACGAGGTTACCTGCAGTTAGAACAAACTCTGAAAGGAAGAATTGAACACATGCAGGTAAGACTTACACACATTAGCCTCTGTGCTTTAATAAGCATGGAAGTGTTTGAAGTATTACTCATTTCAATAAAAAAAAACATCTGTTGTTGTTTTTCTGCATAATATGTCCATGCTCTGTCAAGTTCCAAAAAGGACAAAAAAAAACACAATAATAGCACCAAGTATCATAATAGTACTCTATAAGTCGTCAAACACCATGAGAGTGAGTAAATGCTGACAGAATTTTTGACTCTTCCTTTAATTCAAAATATGTGTCTGTTCAGGAGGATCTTGAGCAATTTCATGAATTTGAAAGGTTATTCCAGTCCCTCGAAACACAATTACAGCAGTGGGAAAGCAAGCAAAGGATGGACAGTGAACTCACAGATATATCTCAGGTAATAAACAAACATACACATGCATAACTCATTGACATCATTTTATTGAAGAGATGTCCAGTATTAATGGTTTCTATATTTTCTTGTCTACAGTCGGGTCTGATGGAGGTCAGTTCTCTCTCTCCTGATCTGGATCTACTAAACACTCTCAGCTACAGGCTGACCCTCAGTGACCCCATGACACAGAGGCTGCAGCACCTCAACAGGAAGTGGGCACAGGCCTCCGCACATGCTCAGGAGAAATGCAGGTGACCGGCACTTATGATCAGATCACCTGAGAAAGACACTAATATCAGATTCAATACTCAGCATATTACATGTTTATGTGTATATTGTGTGTTTAGTGAGTTGCAGGCAGCCTCTCTCCTGCAGCAGAGCTTTGAGCAGAGATGTGAGAGCTGGCTGGCTTTCCTACAGCACATGGAGGACAGTTTGGCTGTAGAAATTGCATCAACTTACCCTGAACTAAGAGAACAACAACGAACACACCAGGTACAACAGTCGACACACCCACAAATGCAACACACATGGATCATAGATCCCGCCCAAAAAATCTGACTCCCCCCAAAAACATATTTTTCTCTCCTTCTCTTCTAGTGTTTTCAGGCTGAGTTGTCTTTAGGGCATCAGATCCTTCACTCTGTGATCAGTGAATCTCTCCTCTTGTTGCAGAAGGGAGATGTGGAGGACAGGTGCCGATTCTCAACGTTTTTTCAATCTCTGTTTTGGATTTAATAAGATTTTGTATGGTTGCTTGTGACATACAATATGATTCAGAAGTTGGGGCAGTGATTTTTTTTTTTAAGAAATCATCTTTAATTCAGCAAGGATGCATTAAATAGCTCAAAAGTGACAGTAAAGACATTTATTTATGTTTAAAAATTGTTTTTATTTCAAATAAATGTTCTTTTGAGCTTTCTATTCATCAAAGAATCCTGAAAAATATGTGTTATGGTTTCCACAAAAATATATTAAGCAGCACAACCGTTTTTAATGTTGATAACAGTAAGAAATGTTTCTTGAGCACCAAATCAGCATATTAGAATGATTTCTGAAGGATCATGTGACACTGAAGACTGGAGTAATGATGCTGAAAATACAACTTTGCCATCACAGGAATAAATTAAATTTTAAAATATATTAAAACAGAAAAGAGATTAAAAAAATTAAAATTATAATAATAGTTCACAATATTACTGTTTTTTTCTGTATTTTTGATCAAATAAATGCAGCATTAATGATTATGAGACTTTTTTCAAAAAAATAAAAAAATTCTTACTGACCCCAAACTTTTGAACCGTAGTGTAATATAGTATTTTATCACTTTGTCATGAAAAAATGACCTACTTTTATAAATATTAAGTTGATACCTGGAAGTTTTATATTTAGAATTCAACATGAGATTTGTAGTTTTACTAACCACTTTGCCTGTGCCCTCAGGAGTGACTTCCTGTTAAAACTGGCACAGCTGAGAGAGCACTGGCAGGGAGCGGTGCAGAGAGCATCTCAACGGCGCGCTCTAGTGGAAGGGCTTATACAGCACTGGCTCCTTTATACACACACAATGCAGAAACTCCGCAAACTCCTCACACTCACACACACAATCTTGTCGCCTGCCGGTCCCACAAACTGTAGTGTCCTGCAGTTGTGCCTCTTACTGGAAGATCTGAAGGTAACAAGATGATTTTCAAATATCACTCATTATTGATGAAGATATTGTATAAGTCGAAGTACTCTATTTATTCATATTGACACCTTCGCTTGCAGTTGTTAGTGACAAAAGAGTCTGTTTGTTTTTTTGTTTTTTGTTTCACCATTTCTCCCTCTTTTTTGTTTGTACCCTTTACTCTCTCCCTCCTCTCTCTCTTTCTCTCTCTGTCCCTGTAAAGCGAACAGAGCTGTTGTTTCAAAGGTCAGTCTCTGCGTATCTGTGTGTGATGGAGGTAGGCAGGCAGCTGTTCTCAGTGAGTGACACGCAGACGCAGATGCAGCTGCAGACAGACCTGGCAGCCCTGCAGGAGGACTGGGAGCAATGCCAGTGCATGCTGGGAAAGAGAAAGACTCTCACATCTGACATCATCAAGGTAAGATGGATTGAAATGGGACCTCTGAATTAACTAACTCTTGTGTTTTATTGCTTAGTTCTATAGACATGCTGTTGCGTTTACAATGTAGACTTATATGGTAATATCAGCTATTTTTATCCTTATCCTTATGTTGAATGTCAAAGGTCACATGGGAAGCACATAAAGCTATGTGAGTGTATTTGTGTGATCAGACTTTTTTTCTAAAATAGTTTTCCTATGATCATGGAAACCTAGAAATATTAGAAAAGTCTGACTTCTAACCTAAACCTGGGAAAGAAATTGTAAAAAAAAATCATGGAAATGTCCAGAAAAAAATGTGTAGACAATTTATACATTTACAATTTTTCAGTACTCATCTGTAAAACATTTTATCATCTATAAATATATAATTATGTGTGAAATCGCTATAATTGTTTTTTTTTTTCTTATCCAGTTATCATGAACAAATAGGAAAGTATGTTCTAGATGTCAGATATCATTCCTATCTACTATACATATCAGCATTTATGAGGGTAAAGTTTATATAACAAAACTAAGTGAAATTTCCCCTTGGAATTTTTATGATTTTATATGATTTTATGATTAGATAAGAAATAGCAGGTTAGATAGGAAATAGCAGGTTATGGATTGTCAATCTTATGAACACCTATTCAGAGCTGCTCCAGAGAACAACCAATATTAACTGCCTGTCCGTGTATTGACACGTCTAAAACTTCATCCGGGAATAAAGTCTGCCATTATAGACTACCACTCTAGAATAGAATGATACAGGGCAACACTACATTTTGGATTGTGTTTGTGTGTGAAGAATAAGGAGATACTGTATTATGTTGGTTTTGTGCAGGAATGAGTCCAGCTGAGTTTGACCTACATTCCCTCTGATTCAACAGCTAATCCAGATCAGACCTTTGCACACACTCCTACACAACCACAAGCACATTCATTTTAATATCAGTGTTCCTGACCTGAAAAGTCTTCATGCATGTCTATCTATCTGTCTGTCTACCTATCTACCTACCTACCTGTTGTCTGTCTGCCTTCCTGCGTGTCTGTCTGTCTGTCTTTCTTTGTCTGTCACTTTATGTCTATTTGTCTGTTTCTCTGCTCCTCATTCATAGTTGACCTTGATTGTAGTTTAGATAATATGAAGACACAGAAAACATAGACTTTGTGTGTGTGTTCATGAGTACATGCACTTGCCATGTGCTAAAGGGTTTATAGTAATGCCTGTCTAGGGATTTACAGCTCTCCCTGTCTGTCTCAGCCTTTCTGTCTCTCTCTCACAGTCTTTATTTTTGTCAGTTTTTATTTCTCATGCAACACTTTATAAAATGAATGCCAGCGCAGTGAAACATTTTGCCATATTCTCTGGAGTTTCCTCTGTGCACTGTCTTATTATAATATGGTTTTATTTGTATTATACTGTATATGTGACGTGCGTGTACAGTACTAACATGTAGATGCGTGTGTGTTGTGATAACCCCACACTGGTGTGTGTTTGTGCATGCATGTGTGTTTACATTGCCACTAGTCGTGCCTTATCTTTTCATTTGTCTCTGAGCAGGGACATTGGTCTGATTTAGTGCACACTGACCTTCCACAGTGGACATCTGGACACCTGTCCATATGTTTGTGTGTACATATCTACCCTCACATAGCCATAAGCTCTCTGTGTTTTCTCTACATTATTTTTGAATTTCCTGACTAATGATTAATTGAGTCGGGTTCATCCCCATATAAAGAGGCTTACAGATCAGATATTACATCAAAAACATGTTAGAGCATTATAGCAGCCTCTATTCATATGTTTTTTTAATTATTTTGCAGAAATGGGAGACCTGTGAGACCAGGCTAGCTGATCAGGCCCAGTGCCTGGAGGAGGTACGAGTCAGACTGAGGCAGTCGATCCCAGATCAGCAGGAGGAGATGGAAGAGGAACGCCTCCTTGTGAAGGTACACTTAACTCCAAGAGGTGAACTGATTTGCTCCACTTCATGTACTGTTGACTGACTTGGTACAGTGAGTGTAATAAGGAGTGAATTACTCACTTAGCATTTTTTCAACAAAAGCATAATTTAATAATGTAATAAAAAAAAAAACACCTAAATGGTTGTGGTGTTTACATTTATATTTAGTCATTTTGCAGACGCTTTTATCCAAAGCGACTTACAATTGGGGAATACATAAAGCGATTCATCTTAAAAAGGTAAACAATCATGAGAAAGTGCTCGCAATACCAAGTTTCAGGCATTGTTGAAATCAGTTCAAGCTAGAAAGGGAAGGAATAAATAAAGAGAAAGACAATGTCTTGAACTTGATGCGAGCCGCAACCAGTAGCCAGTGCAAGGAGATAAGGAGAGGTGTAACATTCTGAATCATTTGTCGAGGTTTGATTGTGCTTGATGGAAGTCCAGCCAGAAGAGCATTGCTGTAGTCCAGCCTAGAAATGACAAGGGCCTGGACAAGACGTTGTGCAGCATGCTCCGTTAGAAAGGGCCTGGTATTTCTGATGTTGTGTAGTGCAAACCTGCAAGATTGAGCAGTCTTTGCAATGTGGTCTTTGAAGGTCAGCTGGTCATCAAAGATTATACCAAGATTTCTGACCGAAGTTGATGGGGTAATTGTAGAAGAACCTACCTGGATAGTGAAATCATGCTGTAGAGTTGGAGTGGCAGGGAAGACAAGAAGCTCATTCTTTGCCAGGTTGAGCTGTAGGTGATGTTCTTTCATCCATGCCGAGATGTCCGCCAGGCAGCCTGAGATCCGTGCAGCTACCGTTGGATCATCTGGTTGAAATGAAAGATAGAGCTGTGTGTCATCAGCATAGCAATGGTAGGAGAAGCCATGTGCCTGTATGATGAGACCCAGTGATGTAGTGTATATGGAGAAGAGGAGGGGTCCAAGAACCTATCCCTGAGGGACCCCAGTGGGTTTTTTTTTTTCATTCATTGATTTATTAAACATGTTACTTTTGAGAACATCCTGGATGTTCATCTGGTTGAAATGAGAGATAGAGCTGTGTGTCATCAGCATAGCAATGGTAGGAGAAGCCATGTGCCTGTATGATGAGACCCAGTGATGTAGTGTATATGGAGAAGAGGAGGGGTCCAAGAACCTATCCCTGAGGGACCCCAGTGGGTTTTTTTTTTTCATTCATTGATTTATTAAACATGTTACTTTTGAGAACATCCTGGATGTTTTGTTATATTTAACTTTTGGTTTAGTAAAGCTAATGGTGAAAGTTAGTTTTAGCTGCTTGTGCTAAAATCACTAATAACAGCTTTTGTTTGTGTTGCATGACACTTTGGATTTCCCTTCTTCCCTGCTATAGGCTTATTCAGCTGTGATTCTCCTCCCTCCCTCTCTCTCTCTCTCTCTCTCTCTCTCTCTCTCTCCTGCCCTCCCCCTTTGTCCCGTGGGCTTTAATCTCGCAGGGCCTGAGGGTGAAAGAGAGAGATTGCGTGAGTCAGAGCTGGGACGTGTGGCAGTGTTTTCTGTGAGTGTGTGTGACGGTGGTGTATTATGTTATGCAGGAGGTTCAGGATTGTTTAGAGGGCTGGGCCGTCAGTCTTTCGGAGCTCAGCACCATGAAGACAGACCTGTCCCAGTACATCCTCACCGATGACGTCCTCCTCCTGCAGGAGCAAGTGGACCATCTGCACTGCCAGTGGGAAGAGCTCTGCCTCAAAGTAAGACACACAAATATCTTTACCTAGACATACCAGACTTTTGTATTTTATGCTTTAGACTTTTTGATGAAATAGGAGAAAACAGAGCAAACATAAAGCCTACAGGAATCTTGTGTCTAAACATTGACAGCTCTAATTCATTGAGCTGACTGATAAACCTTAGTGTGTGAGAACTGAGAAGTATAAATATTTAACAGCAAAATATAATGAATGAATCTGTATTATATGAATGTAGTTTAAGGTGTAGATACATAGCAACTTCTGCTTTTTTTAAACATTTTTAATGTTTTAAAACACGTTTACCTACAGATATCTAAATCAAGACATTCAATTTTTTGTTGTTTTCTAAAGTTAATTATAATTACTACTGAGTAAAACCTAACCTAAACTAAATCTCTATGCTTTAAAGATAACTTATTTATTTATTAATTTTTATTAAAATGATTTATCTAAATTATTAAATATGAATGCATTTTTTTTCCTTCATTGATTTATTAAACATGTTACTTTTGAGAACATCCTGGATGTCCACAAAGGGATGTTTTGTTATATTTAACTTTTGGAGACAGTTTTGTCTCCAGCTACTGCTAAGTAAACCTACACAGATGACATGCTCAAAGGAATTCCAACTATTTTAAATACAATGTTAGCACACCATCACTACCCAAGAAACAGATGTGAGGATTTTATTTATTTTTTTATCAGTGCTCATTGATTCAGCTGGAGTCATTGTTCCTGTGAAGTTCCTTGATGTATGTTGTTCTGGTGACCATGTATTGATTTACTTTCTGAACCTGTGCATCACTCGCATGAGGTCTTGCTGCAGTTTTTAATGAATATGGTGTTGGATCAGTCAGCTGGAGTCTCCTGGGGTCATGTTTTGGGGGTCTGGTGTGAGTTTTGGGGTAGGTGGGGGTCTTTGACAGTGGAACGAGAGAGCAGATGGTATAGAGTGAAGGACACAGAAAAAAGACACACAGAAATGAATAGAAGCAGGAGTCTTTAGCTCTTTGTTTTGGAAATCACTCTGGGGGGGGGGGGGTGTTAGTGTTGCCTAGTAACAGTGAAGTCCACATGTGGCAGCTGTTGAGTTAGTTTGGATTTTAAAACTTTTGAGTAACAAAGTTCATAAAGATGTTTTGGCTAGTGATCTTTAAATATGGAAAGAAATTGTTTTGCATAAAAAATTTAATAATTGATTGACATAATTGTAATGATTTTAATTAAGTACATTTGTCCCAGAAATTGTTACCTCAATATGCACATATTTTAATTTTTAGGGTTTTTTTATTTTGTAATTCCCTGTATTCGCAGTGTTGATTCATTAGATTTTATTAATGTCCATTACTGTGATACAGTATTTTTTATTGTAATACAGTAAAAATAGCTGTAATACATTATTTTTTTAAATCAGTATAAAGGCAGTACAACGAGACTTCCATAATTAATACTACTATATTTTTATAATTTTTTTATTTACAAAATTATAGTATTGAGAATTGTTTGTATTCTTAATTGTCAGAATGCCAAAAACATATTGTGTTTTTCTTTTGATTTTGGTGAGAAATATGACCTGCACATCTTTTTGACAGGTTTAGTGAGATTCCCTGTCTTTGTGTGAGCTGCAGTTATGCTGCCATATCTCTTATGTATTTTCTCTCTCTCTCTGTAGGTTTCTCTGCGTAAGCAGGAGATTGCTGATCGGCTGAATGCCTGGATCATTTTTAATGAGAAGAATCGGGAGCTGTGTGAATGGCTGACACAGATGGAAAACAAGGTGGCACACAGTGCTGAGCTGAGCATCGAGGAGATGGTGGAGAAACTCAAGAAGGTGAGATAAAGGTCTTCTAGCAAAACGAATGTTTATTCCACATTTATTTGCTTGCTATATTTCACCTAATCTTGTAAGCAAGCAAGCAACAAGAGTATGACTCTCAAGAAATTAATCATTATTACCTTCCTTGCCCTCTTACACTCAAATATTCACTCTCTTCAGGACTGTATGGAGGAGATCAACCTCTTCAGTGAGAATAAGACACATCTGAAACAGCTGGGAGAACAACTCATCACTGCTAGCAACAAGACCAAAGAGACAGAAATCAATGACAAGATCAAGGACATCAACGACCGCTGGCAGCATCTGTTTGATCACATTGAGGCCAGGTAAGACCTTAGAGTAACCCTGAGCATGGTCATGGTCAAATATACTAAATCAGATGCAATACACAATACTCCTTTATTATAAATGCTGCTAGAATGTGACCATAAAACGGTAACGCATATGTTACTTGAGAACTTTGCTGGATTTTTACAAGCATTTGGGTCATGGGATATGAACTGCAAAGTACTTTGTAAGATGCATGCATGGCACAGTGATGTTAATCTGACATTGATCCAATTCATCTCAGCCACACTTTATTTAACAGACAGGAAGTGCAGTTTGTCACATTCAATGAAGCGTAAACATCAGCTCCACTGAGTCAGAAACTGCAAGAGAGAGAGATTTAAATGTAGAGGTGCACGTGGAGTCAGTCCAGATGGGTGTTATCTGGGTGGAGCGTATGAAGGGGGTTGGTTTGTCCTGCTCTTCGCTTGATTGACAGCTCTTTGGTTAGACAGACGGTGGCTGTAGCTTCATGATACATTGATGGCCAGCTTGTTGACTTCTCGTCTTCAAGTCTGCTTTTCTTTTCTGCATTTTCTCTGGTCTTCGGTTCTGGATCTCTGGAATAAGTGCATTCAAAGCATCTATATTTATTGTTTGTTCATGTTAAAGGGATAGTTCACCCAAAAATGAAAATTCTGTCATTTACTCACCCTCATGTCGTTCCAAACCTGTATGAGTTGCTTTCTTATGTTGAACATAAAAGATGATATTTTGAAGATTGCTGGTAATCAAACAGTTGGTGGTTGACACTGACTTTCATAGTAGGAAAAAAAATACTATGAAAGTCAATGGCAACCACCAACTGTTTGATTATCAGCAATCTTCAAAATATCTTCTTTTGTGTTCAACATAAGAAAGCAACTCATACAGGTTTGGAACGACATGAGGGTGAGTAAATGATGACAGAATTTTCATTTTTGGGTGAACTATCCCTTTAAGGCAACATACAGCAGACTGACCTATATTATGTTCCATATTACTCAAAGAGATTGAGATTAGACCTTATCTATCATTCAATTGCACTCTAAAAAATAAAGGTTTTCACAGCGATGGCATGGAAGAACCATTTTCGGTTCCCCAAAGAACATTTAGTGAACAATTTAGTGAAAAGAAACATTATTTTTTTAACAGAAGGCACATTTCAATAATCTAAAGAAACTTTTTCCACTATAAAGAACCTTTTGTGCACTGGAAAGTTCCATGGACTTTGAAAGTTATTCTTGGAACCATTAATGTCAGTAAAGAACCTTTATTTTTAAGACTGTACATTTCAAAATTCAAAATACAACTGAAACATTGCGACAGTAAACAGATCAGCTGGTGGAATGCCATTTAATGTAATTGTGTTGCTTAAACAAGCCTCTTAAGAGAGGGTTTGGAGGTTATAAGGGAAAGAAGCTGGTGGCCTGTTGCACTCTTCACCTGCAGATTCCTCTTACCTCATCACAGCAGATAAATTCACCTGTAGAGCTTTAGAGCTTCACATCTGCAGTCGAGCAAATATCTCGGCATTCACACTGACAGTAATTAAAATTCTGTAGGTAGCCGAGTCTCAAAAACTGGCCGCCTTATTGTGTTAGTAGCATGTTTGCGTGTTTTAATCTACTTTGCAAACAGGTGTGCAGACAAATTATGCCTTGCTACAGACATTTCTATCATAGTTCCCAGCTGAGCAGATTCCTGAGCGTCTATAAGCGATTTGAATGTTAACTGGCTCTGTGCCACTAATGTCAATGTTTTAGAGCTAACACTGGCTGTGCAGGTGCCTGTTGACACTAAATGTGGCTTTGTGGATCAGTGGGTAACCAGGCACGAGACCTGTCTGTTTGTCGGCTGTCACCTTGAGCTGGAGCTTTACACCTGTCAGTATTCCTTTTCATCAATCACTGAGACTCCATGAGCACGAGTTTAACCAAAACACATGCAGTCAGCTGTTTGTTATCCAAAAGTAAACACCTTCAGGATGATACAAGATCACCCTGTCAGGGATAATGATCCAACTGACTGGCCATTATATATTTTGTTGAACTATTCCTTTAAATTCACCTTTGTGTACATAAAGAGAGTGTTTTAGTGATGGGTTGAGCTTGTGTCGAGAATGCTGTTGAAGTCATTGTCTCTGTGTTCGAGGTCAAAATTCACAAGCATGACTCCAGCATGCCTCGGCCTGTCTCAGCCGGTCGCTCTGTTTTCATTGTCACTATCAAGTGTTTAGAGATTATTTGTCATTTGAATTTAGACCATCTGAAGAGATATGTTAATATACTCTATACACTACCATTACTTACTAAGTTTGGGGTCACTAAGATTTATAATATTACAATATCAAATAAATACTGTTCTTTTGAACTTTCTATTCAGATCCTGAAAGAAATATATCACAGTTTCCACACAAAGAAGCAGCACAATCGTATTCAACACTGAAAATAATAAGAAATGTTTCTTGAGCACCAAATCAGCATACTAGATTCTGAAGAATCATGTGACACTGAAGACTGAAGTAATGGCTGCTGAAAATTCAGCTTTGCCATGACAGAAATAAATCACATTTTAAAATACATTCAAATAGAAAACAGTTATTTGTAATAATATTTTACTGTAACACATAAATGTAGCCTTGGTGAGTATAAGTGACTTCTTTCAAAGACATTTAAAAAAAATCTTACCAACCCTAAATTTTATAATGGCAGTTTATGTGTACATATTTGTGTGTCACTCACACAACTTGCAAATGGGAGTGTGTGATTGAGACAAGTCTCTAAGCAGGATTATAGAAGTTGACATAGACACGTCCGACTCTTTTGTCAGCTAAAAGCACAGCAGAGTTCACCCTCACAGCATCTGCACACGCGGGAGCTGCTGTCTGCTGGCACAGGCCTTTGTGTCCACTCGCCATCCCATAAGTCTTCTGTCTACACTTATTGTGTCTCTCGGCCAATCAGCATCAAGGCTCTGTCCTTCTGCTCTTCTGCTATTTGCTGAGTGATGGCAGCCATTGTATTATTGAACCCTTGGTGTCTTACAAAACCCTGCTCACTATTGCTGGACAAAGGGCCAACATGGGACAGATGTTATATTGAAAACACCCCCGCTAAACACACACACACATAAATGATATTGAAGATTCCCATTCAGGAAAGTTCATTAAAATTCTCTACTCACTGTTTTAAGGACCATTTTACACTCCTTTGTGGGATGTTGACCAAAGTGCTTGAATGAGGAAATTTGTTTTCCAGTTTCCACCTGTAGCTGGAAGTGCTTCTATGGCAACAAGTTTGCCATAAGCTTATTTTAGGGTGTGTGACAGCCTCTTTGTGTATGTGCAGTTTTGTGTGTCTCCTCACAAATAATATTCCACGTTTTAACAATCTTTATCCACCATGACTATCATCCTGAATGGATATCAAATACTGACTAACCGTGAAGTGGGACGATTTAATTAAACCCTTCAGAGAGCTGAAGTGTGCTCTGAATCTTCCCAACACCAGTGAATTACCCTCTTCTAAAGACTGAAAGCCTTTGACAAGCAGCTCTGCCTATGTGAGGCCCACCAACGTGGTTCCCTGTGGCCCAGATTTCTCAGCTCATTTAGCTGAACTGCTTGAAATTAAGCATGCTGGAGAAGTTTGAATCTGAATCAATTATTACAAATTAATTCTATTTTAATATGAGTGGTACTTGCCTGTGCAAAACATGTTGCTAAGATGCAAGAAGTGTCCCAAATGATGCATTATATGCTACACAATTATACTATCCACAACACATGTAGAAATCCCTGTTTGAACTCTCACGTACTCACTCAAAGACAAATATATTCTCTTGATTTATTTTTGCACTGTTTTCTTGTGGTTAGTCAAGAGTCTCATTTGCGAGAGAAAATGACTTTTAAACGTACATGATGCTGTCTAACCTGCTCAGCTACAGTAATTACTACCTATTTGCTGCATGCTAGGTTTATACATTCAGGCTCACCCTGTACACCCATAATGCCACATACATATCTACACCTACTCATAATTATGTCTCAGCATTTAATAATGAGGTTGTCTAAAATGCCTCTTTGAGGGTAACTGAAATTACGAATGTAAGGGAAAAGATGAATTCTTTATAATAACCAAAGCTTTTTGTTTGACATTTGATATATAAGTATCATTGGGTTGCCTTTGTGCATTACCTGCAATCACGCTTGCTACTATAACCAGTCCAGACAACTTCGCTTTACATTTAATAGTCCGATTTTTGTATCACATAGTCATAATAAAAGGCATAAAACTTTCCACAAGATTCCTGTTACCATCTCTAAAATATGTTTGTTTGCTCATGCCAAAATGCTGTAGCCTCTGAATAAGATGCAGTCTGTGATATGACAGTCTATAAGTATTCCTAAATATTTAAAACTGCTGGCTGTATTTGTAATGCAGTTGAAGAAAGTGATGGCAACAATGGAGTATCTTCACCATCTCCACTGTAAATGACACATCTCATGGCCATTCAGTGAGAGGGAGAGAGAGGGGGGTTGAATATGACAGAGGGACAAGGAGGGTGGGAGTATACAGCAGCTCACGGTCTGTGAGAAGAGCGTGTGTGAGATCAGCCACAAGACAGACATGTTAACGCTAACACGAGAGAGCCATGGAGCCTCACCAGTCTGTGAGTAAGTATTTGCTAATTGCACACACACACGGGGTTTTCATATAAGCGTGCGTGTGTGTGTGTGTGTGTGTGTGTGTGTGTGTGTGAGAGAGAGAGAGAGAGAAAGGATATGGGCAGTGCTTTTGTCAGTGTGTGTGTTCAGTGGCTAACACTAGCTTCAGTGCTGGACTGACCAGATTCTGCTTTGCATGGAAACACGCTTGTTTCTAGGTATGAGTGTGTGTGTGTGTGTGTGTGTGTGTGTGTGTGTGTGTGAGAGAGAGAGAGAGAGAAAGGATATGGGCAGTGCTTTTGTCAGTGTGTGTGTTCAGTGGCTAACACTAGCTTCAGTGCTGGACTGACCAGATTCTGCTTTGCATGGAAACACGCTTGTTTCTAGGGAGGACATGCATGCTGGCGATGTGCAGATGGTGCATTTGGTGCATTTTCTCAATTCTAAACAGATATGCACCAAAAACAGGCTGCGAAGATGCATGCAATCATGCATTACTAATGTTTTATTTATAAAGTATATCTTTCTAAATCCTGTCATCTTTTAAGGCTTTTATGTTTATATTGATGTGATACAGAGGACATCTTGTTTCATTGCCTTATTTCATTGCACCAAATATTTTGAGTGACTGCATGCATGTTATTTGATTTAAGTGTGTTTTCTCTTCAGTTTGTTTGTGATAATGCAAATAGTACTTGTGTTTGTCACAATAAGAATAAACCCTCTGATACGAACACCAAACACTTCAATGCATTGCTGTCACATGCAGCTGAGTTGTTGTGTGATGTCACTGCTTCCACATCAGCACTCCGGTTTGTTTTGGTCAGACCTCCATTGGAAATGTCACATGACTATGAAGGAATGCCCCCCATCCTCTTAGTCACACGACGTCACTCTTAGAGTGGGGTGAAAGCCATCTACATGCTCAGATAGTCCTAACACTGAGTGTTCTGGTGTGGGTTGAATAGAGTGCGACAGACGGACCCGACGTGGGTCATTGCACACTCAAACCTAATAAGAAGCCTTTTGTCCTGTATTGTGTCTTTGTAAACCTCAGCTGGCAGGCTTGCTGTATAGGAATGGCACTAGGTCAAGGAATGTTTGCTTTTTATGTGAACATAAAAAGACAGACCATGTTTTGGTAAAACCGTGTTTCATATCAACAATATTTCAACTTATTTTTTTAAATAATAATTTTTAACTGCAGGAATTGCTTTAGCAAAGACTTTTTTCCCCTATGTGGAAAATACATGGGAAAAAGGACACTAAAAAAGTGGACAGACACTGTTGCACTCTATAGAAGAAATGATGATTGTGATTGACTACTTTGTTACAGGAAAGCAAATGTCCAACCAATCAAAACTCTTAACTACTGTGAAGTGATACACACTATGTGATACACAAAAGTTGTTAGAATAGTTTATTTCACTCTTTATTTAGAATATGATAGTTTGTAAGTAATGTAATAATTAATATTTTTATGATTGAAATACTGAAAATTCAAAGTCGGGGTCTAGAATAAGTAAAAAAAAAAAAAAAAAACAAGATGTCATTCTGTTTTAAAAAGTTTTCTTTTTATGGTGTAAAAGCCAAATGTGACTTTGAGCAACTCGAGTTCGAGTCCCAGCTTAAGGTCCTGTCCCAATCTTGTACCTCTCTCTCTTATTGCTTCCAGTCTCCTCTTACACTGTTCTATTGAATACCAGCAAAAAAAAAAAAAAGATATTGACAGACTGACTGATTGTATTTCAGGGTGAGGAAGCTGAAGGAGACACTGGTGACAGTGCAGCAGCTGGATAAGAACATGAGTAATCTCCGTACCTGGCTTTCCCGTGTCGAGGGTGAGCTGGCCAAACCCATCATCTACAGCGTCTGCCACAGTGATGAGATACAGCGCAAACTAGCAGAGCATCAGGTAATCTGTGCATTCAATAACAAAACCACTATACGAAACTATGTTTCAAGTACTTATTGTATGCCTTCAAAAAGCACAATGCGTTATGAAGCAGATTTATCTAAGCACCAATGCTTTATAGGGTGAGTGTTCATAGCTTTCAGTCACGTGACCGGCTCAAAGACTTGGAGGGCAAAACATCCATAGAACTGCAGCACAAGCCTGTCAATTTTTCATCTGTTTCACAGCCGCAAATATTTAGATCACCTCTCAAAAGAATAAAACAGGAAGGTATGTGAACAAAATGCAAGTTTTTTTGGCCATTTGCAATCCATATTAAGCACCCGCGGCTATATTTTAATCATTAAACAGTGCGACAAAACGTTGTAAAAACACTTAAAGTGCCTTAATATATTTAAAACAGTGATATTCTCTATATTTATGATGCATAGTTTACATAGGCAAGCAGATGAGGCCGGAATAGATACAATTGTAAAAAACAACTTCTCGCTAATTGCTATAACTTACATCGCTAGGCATGTGTTTATATCGACACTAAATTCCTTGTATTCTGTACTTCCGTATTCACGTTCTCTGGAGTGTAACGTTACTAAATTAGGTTTTTCGTTTTTTTGAATTTTCAGAACGATTATTCGTGAGAACTTGTTGAAAACGCAGTCAGGAAGCAAGAACCAAAAATTCACATAGATATCAAACTCCCACGAGAGATACCGTAATTTTATGTATTTATTTATTATTATTAGATTATTATGTTCTTTTTAAACATAAAAATTTATTTAAATCCTTCGATAGCTCAGTTGGTAGAGCGGAGGACTGTAGAGGTTCATTGCTGCCAGTGCCATTTGAATTCTTATATTTGGTTTGAATTCGGCTCGAAGGACAAATTTTGCAACCGCTAAATTTGGCAATGCGTTATATTACAAATGTAGTAATTTGTATTCTCAAATTGCAATTTTAGATACAAGTATTTACGCTTTTATTAAGAAAGCATATCGATGTAAATAAAGCTTTGAATTAATTCATAAGATTATACAAATTGAACAAAAAAGATTTTTCCTCATAGATAGATTTAAAATATATGGACAGCTTGATAGCATGATGTTTAAAGTTTACCAGCCTACATCAAAATAGTAAAATTGTCTTTTCAGCATTCTAGTAATGAAATGCGTTAAGTTCCCACCATAGACTGTAAAAAAACAGGGTTCCCAAATATATTTTGTTGGCACCATAGACTGGTTGGCACAGGTGAAAGAGGGAAACAGCGCCGTCATGTGGAGATACACAGACTTTATGAATTTTTTACCTTTTCTTTCATTTTATGAGGGAGTTTCATTTCAGCTGACGCGTACAGATGATTCATCTTAATGTCAGAGAAAATAGGTGGCTGTGCAGTTTCATTTATTAAGTGGTGAAATGTACTATTACTTACGCAACATTAATTTCATAACACGACAGATGTGCCTCGTGCGATCAACTGTTTATGGTTTATCCATGTGCGACATTTCAAAATGCATAAACAAAATAATCTAATCTCTGTTCAGTCATTAGCGTTCACGGACTGAGGTTGCTAATATAAAGAAATGAATAATTATATTGTAGACGTAACGTCGCACGTAACGTGGGGGCGTGACCAAACAATTCATCCATTCAATCTCTGCTAATGTCCTCTGGTGGTGCATTCAAATGTTTCTCCGGTTTCTCTAAACTTTAATATATTTGTTTATGTCCTTGGGATACCGACAACTGACAGTGTTTCTAAAAAGCTAACGTTCCCGCTTTTCACCCTGTCTTTGTGTTTTAGGTAAGCAATCAATATTGTAATATTTTTAAGTAGCATAAATGTGATACAATGTCTCAAATAAGGCCCCAAAATTACTTGGATACTCAATTCACCCTAAAAATAGCGCCAGTGTCTTCGCATTACATAACAAAAGCAAGCAGCATTTGTTGGAAAAAAAGAAGTTTGTTAGGGTTTAAGTTGTAAATCAATACATTTATTGCAATTCAGATTAAAACAGTGTTTGGACCAGTGTTGGGGAAAGTTACTTTTAAAAGTAATGCATTACAATATTGCGTTACTCCCTTAAAAAAGTAACTAATTACGGTACTTAGTTACTTTTTATGGAAAGTAATGCGTTATATTACTTTCGCGTTACTTTTTAAATATAAGCAGGGCTTGATTGTTTGTCCCAATCTTGTCCCTCTCTCTCTTATTGCTTCCAGTCTCCTCTTACACTGTTTTATTGAATACCAGCAAAAAAAAAAAAAAGATATTGACAGACTGACTGATTGTATTTCAGGGTGAGGAAGCTGAAGGAGACACTGGTGACAGTGCAGCAGCTGGATAAGAACATGAGTAATCTCCGTACCTGGCTTTCCCGTGTCGAGGGTGAGCTGGCCAAACCCATCATCTACAGCGTCTGCCACAGTGATGAGATACAGCGCAAACTAGCAGAGCATCAGGTAATCTGTGCATTCAATAACAAAACCACTATACGAAACTATGTTTCAAGTACTTATTGTATGCCTTCAAAAAGCACAATGCGTTATGAAGCAGATTTATCTAAGCACCAATGCTTTATAGGGTGAGTGTTCATAGCTTTCAGTCACGTGACCGGCTCAAAGACTTGGAGGGCAAAACATCCATAGAACTGCAGCACAAGCCTGTCAATTTTTCATCTGTTTCACAGCCGCAAATATTTAGATCACCTCTCAAAAGAATAAAACAGGAAGGTATGTGAACAAAATGCAAGTTTTTTTGGCCATTTGCAATCCATATTAAGCACCCGCGGCTATATTTTAATCATTAAACAGTGCGACAAAACGTTGTAAAAACACTTAAAGTGCCTTAATATATTTAAAACAGTAATGTTAAAATATCAAATTCAGTAATCTCTATATTAATGATGCATAGTTTACATAGGCAAGCAGATGAGGCTGGAATATGATCGCAGTCCGCTTAATGGTTCAGTGTTTTCCTTCTAATGGTTTTCTATGGGAAACCATTTAACGTGAAACTTTGCACATTGCGTTTATATTCTGGCTTCATCTGCTTGCCTGTACAAAATATACATCATCAATAAGGTGTATACTGAATTTTGCCTTTTAATATCTGTGTTTTACTACATTACTACTTAATGCAAACTGCGTAAAAATAACTGGCGGTCAGTTGAGCAAAGCTTCGTTTTGCCCTCCAGGTGGGTGTTCCTATAAGTGTGTGACGTCACGTGAAAACTATCAATAGGTAAAGAGGGCCACTAAAGCCTGTTCATCTTTACCCTTGAGTGTATATTCCTCCATTGTTAAAAATGAACATGACGTTTCTTCTAATGTGGGATGGCTTTTTGCATTATTTTGATGTCTTAGCAATGTCATCTTTCTTAAACGACTGATAATTTGATGAGTTTTTTGGTATACGTTAGTCTTAGGCCCATTCACACCAAGAATGCTTAAGCTCTTTAAATCAGGATGGATTTTGAAATTGCTTCCAACAATATGGTTATGGTTATAGTTGTGGTGTGGACTTTCCTATTCTCATAGAATTAGAACGATTATTAGAACTTTATAGTTATCGACCTTGGTGTGAACGGGCCTTTAGAGTGTGATTTTGTTGGTCTCCACTAGGACTTGCAGAGAGACATCGAACAGCACACAGAGGGTGTGGCATCTGTTCTGACCCTGTGTGATGTTTTGCTGCATGATGCGGATGCTTGTGGCAGCGATGGAGAGAACGACTCCATTCAGCAGACCACTCTCAGCCTGGACCGCCGCTGGAGGAACATATGTGCCATGTCTATGGAGAGGCGAATGAGGTCAATACAAAAACCCATATTAGCATGTTTGGCGGCATCAATGTCACTAATTTGTTTTTTTTCTCTGACCACTGTATTCTATACTGTCCCCTGCAGGATTGAGGAGACATGGCGTCTGTGGGGCAAGTTCCTAGATGACTATTCACGCTTCGAAGAGTGGCTGAGCACGGCAGAACGTACAGCAGCCAACCCTGCCACCAAAGATGTACTCTACACCTGTGCTAAAGAGGAACTCAAAAAGTTTGAGGTTTAGATCTTTTTAAGGATTTTTTCACTAATAGTAGCTTGTTCATCATCTCAGTAATAGAATAAAAGAACCATTTTTGGTTCCTCGAAGAACCTTTCAGTGAACCATTCTTAAAAGAGCCATTTTTTTCTTAGTGGAAAGAACATTTTAATATTCAACTATAAAACTTTCCAACTATACAGAACCTTTAATGCAATATAAAGGTTCTGTAGATGTTTAAGGTTCTTCATGGAACCACAGATGCCAATAAATCAATTGTTTTTAAGAGTGTAGTGGCTTTTGCATTTGTCAGTATCTAGACATAATCTATTGGACAATTAACACTTTTTTAAACTTGCACACATGCAGGCATTCCAGCGGCAGGTTCATGAGCGCCTGACACAGCTGGAGCTGGTGAACAAACAATACCGACGTCTGGCACGAGAGAACCGGACAGATGGTGCCAGTAAGCTGAAGCTGATGGTGCATGAGGGAAACCAGCGCTGGGATACGCTACAGAAGAGAGTGGCCGCTGTGCTCCGCAGGTTAAAGGTCAGACTTGGGTCCTACACTACTGTTCAGAAGTCAGTAATATATATATTTAAATTAATTAATTATTTTATTAAGCCAGAACACAACAAATGCTTCTAAAGTGACAATAAAACATTCATAATGTCACAAAAGGTTTCTATTTCAAGTAAATGCAGTTTTTTTACTTTCTATTCATTAGAGAATCCTGAAAAATAAAGTTTGAAAGAGTTTAAATAATAATATATAGCAGCAAAATATTTCTTGAGCAGCAATTCAGCATGTGAGATTCATTTCTGAAAGATCATGTGACACTGTAGACTGGAGTAATGACTGAAAATTTAGCTTTGCAATCACAGGAATAAATTACATTTTAAAATACATTACAATAGAAAATAGTTTAATCATTTAAAATAGTTATTTTAAATTGTAATAATATTTCACAATACTATTTTTACTGTATTTGTATTCAAATATATGCAGCATTGGTGAGCATAAGAGACTTCTTGAAAACATAAAAATAAATCTTACTGATCCTAAAGTTTTGAACTGTACTTTTTAATATATATTAAATTCTCAAATACTGACTGGTTTGGAAATGGCACCTAATAAACCTAAAAACCTGTCAGAATGTTCAAATTAATTGCATCTCTGACCTTCAGTTCTTTGTTTCCATGATAACAAAGTATACTTTTTTGGGGCAAAACTCAATTTTCTAAAATGTTACTGAGCTCTAAATGCTTCTCCTCTGTGCAGCACTTCACATCCCAGCGTGAAGACTTTGAAGGAACAAGGGAGGGGATTCTGGTCTGGCTGACTGAAATGGACCTTCAGCTCACCAATGTGGAGCATTTTTCAGAGAGTGATATCCATGAAAAGATGCGTCAACTAAACGTCAGTACACTCTGATTTTATGTAAAAATTGCTATTGTAACTATTAAACAGTTAAACAGGTTGAATGAGTCTGGTCACACAGTCAGAGTGAAAAATAATTTGTTATTTGATTCCTGCAGGCATTTCAGCAGGAGATCACTCTAAACACAAATAAGATTGATGCTCTGATCGTATTTGGAGAGAACCTGATCCAGAAGAGTGCTCCACTGGACGCTGTACTCATCGAAGATGAACTAGAGGAGCTGCACTCTTACTGCCAGGAAGTGTTTGGCAGAGTCGCCCGATTCCACCACCGTCTTATCAGCAGACGCCCAGTCAGTTTGAAAAACTCATCTCACAAATGCTGAACAATACACTCTTGACTGATTACTAACTTTTACCCTTCCCACTAGGTGCTTGAGGAGGACCGAGAGTTCTCAGACAGAGACACAGATCCGGAGGACTCAGCTAATTTCAGTGGGGTGTGGGAGAGAGAACAGGAGGAGGAAGAGGAGGCTGCTATGAGCTCTGATGTTTCTCTGACAGTACGCCAGGCCGTATCCCAGCTGTTGCCACCTGCTCTGGAGCGCTCAGGGCGTGAGACGCCCATCAGTGTGGATTCAATCCCACTGGAGTGGGACCACACCGTCGATGTGGGAGGATCTTCATCTCCAGAGGATGATGAGGAGTTGACGTTCTACAGCGCCCTATCAGGTACCTCTTTATAGACTGGTCTCTGTTGCTCTGTTAAAGTATATCTAGATCTGTCTTGTCTGTTATAGACTGCTCTGTTCGTGTTTCTAGATCTCTCTGTTTGCTATATGCTGTGCTATTATTCTTTGTCTCTTACATGACACTCTTTTAGAGTGCCTAGATCTGCTGCTCTGTTTAAGTCTATGTAGATCTCTTTATCTGTTATCTGCTGCACTTTTAGGTAAATGTAGAGCCGCTTCCTTAACTGGCACCGTCCCACCTGTGGGACGCTTGGCGCTCTTTTTTTTTATTGTCCTTTTTCTCTATCAAATGTTTTAGTAATCATCATAAATTATATATCGTTTGAAAGCTAAGAAGACCATTTTAAAATCGAACATTGCGTTACCATGGAAATGGTACTTTAAAATGTTTTGGCGGTCTCCTCCCCCTTAGCAGGCAGTGTCAAGAGTCGTATTACAAAATGCATTACGGTCTTTTACAATCAAAACTTTTTATAATCTTGACAAAAGATTAGGTCTTGAAAGGTCTGAGTCTCAGGATTACATATTTGGTGGTTATTTTGTGATAGAAGCAATATTGACAGAGAAATTTCAACATAGGAGTTTGGATGGCACCCGGTGGCTATTTGTGGTATAACGCCCTAAATAAAATCTCACAGAAACCTCAATTTTTTCCATATCAACTTCAAATTTGAAACATAACTTATTTAGACAGAAGGCTTAAATTTTATAGCAATTTGAGAGTAAAACCTGTTGTGTAAAATATTTATTATATATAAAATTAGTACAGTGTATTTTCTTTACAATACATTTAAACTTCTATAACTTTTTGAAACTTTATTTTTTTTTTTTTATTCCACTTTTGCCATAATCTGCTGATTGTCTTCTTTAAAAAGAGACCAACCTTAGGGCTGTATTCCAAAGTGTTCATAAATTACAACAATTTAAGTTTGGATAGTGCACGTTCATGCCTATTTTAAAAAATGGGGGGTGACAGTTAAGGGGTTAAAGAGAATCTAGATTATCTAGATTAGAGTCATTGTACAATTTAGGGTGCATTTCATGTCCAATTTTCTCGAGTTTTACATGTCCAATATAATGTCATTATATATTTTTTAAAACTTTCTATTAATTTTTATCGCATTTTATTGCTTGAAATTGCCTTGATGTCCCTTAAATTATAGTTGTTGCAGTGTCCGTTATTGTGTGATTGGGTTCAAAATAATGAATAAAAAAAAGTTAGTCACTTTTATCTATATTAAATTTATTTCTAAAATCTGAATTATTCAGAAAAAAGGCTTTTTAAATTGTTTGGATTTAATTTTCTTTGAATTGTCGACGTCGATGGCCTCGTGGGCAGCGCACCGACATAGAGCGCCATTGCGCTTCGGGTGTCACAAGTTCGAGTCCCGGCTTGCGGACCTTTCCTGATCCCATCCCCCTCTCTCTCACCCACTTCACTTCTTGTCGACCTATACTGTCCTATCTAAATAAAGGCATAAAACACCATAAATAAACCTTTAAAAAAAAAAATTTATTTGAATTAAGAAAATATTTGTCTGCTTACATTGTCAACTTTTGCCTCAACTTGCTAGTAAATTTAACAACCAATTACAGAGAAATTGCAAATAACACATTGAATTAAATATGTATAGTATATGTATAGAAAAACTGAAATAGTATTTTTTTTAACACTCTAATAATCTTTATTTACAACTTTTGTTTTATTTACAATTTTTTTACATTGTTATATTAAAATGGTGTAATAATAATTAAGCTTGGCAACTAGTTGGTGTAAAATATGTTACACTGATGAAATATATAAAGAAAGCAATAGTCGTTTTGTTAATAAAGCATATTGGGTAGCACTTTAAAATAAGGTTCCATTTGTTAACTCTATTTAATGCATTAACTAACAATGAGCAATACATTTGTTACAGTATTTATTCATCTTTGTTGGCATTAGTTAATAAAAATACAGCTGTTCATTGTTAGTCCATGTTAGCTCAGGTCCATTAAATAACATTAATATAACTTGATTTTAATAATACATTTAGATTTTGTTGCTATGAAATGTTCCCCCAATTATAGAGTGATCCATATAATGAATTAGGTTATCTACGCTCTGTTATTCACTGCTCTGGTAATGTATCTACTGCACATCATCCTGTTGTCTGCCGCTCTTTTATACTGTATCTTGACCTCTCTGTCTGATATTTGACTCTCTATTAGTCTAGATGTCTGTTATTTGTCTGTTATAGTGTCTCTAGATCTCTGTCTGTCTGCCGCTCTTCTCTTGCAGATGTAGAAGTCACTGAGAGCTCTCAGTTATTTTTTAAAGCTACATCTAAAGCTCTGAAGACTGTGTCCGGTAGGCATCAGCCTGCTGCATGCTGTCAGCACTCTCACTGCACATTACATGCGTGCTTTAGCATAAGTGACATGTTTCCTTCCTTAATCTCTAAATATAATAGACATTTTTTGCTTTGTGCTCACTGCCTGGATGGTTAACAACTTCATCTCTCTAGCAGCTGCCCATGTTCTTGAAATCCCATGATGCTTGTTTTTATGTTTGCCAAGAATCTTCCTCTGAATGTGATTTGCATTACAGATGTTTTTCATAATGCATGTCGGTTTTGCGACTAATTGCATCTTTATTCTTTTTTTGTTTCTGTAGCATGCCTGTGCAACTGAGTGATGACTTTTTGCATGCTTGTTTTGATTGGTATTAGGAGTTAAAATATCTTGCTCTGTCTCTCGTTTAGGAGGAAGGTCAGTGGTGGAGACGTGGCACTCTCCTGATGCACCAGACAGGAAGCGAGCAAACAGAGAGATTATACGCAGTCTCACATCCTCACCCACAGACACCAGCGCTCAGTATCACCCACAGGCCTATGTGAGTACTCAAACATGCATCACACTCACTAAGCACACTTTAACATTGGCACACACATATAAACACATTTTGTGTTCTATTTCCTTTCTCTCATCCTTCAGGATAAACTCATGTCTGAGTGTGCTGGCAGTATAGACAGTATAAAGCGAGTGAAACTGATTCTGAGCGAGGAAGAACAACTGGACGATCAGGGTTTGACGGTCCTCTCCGCAGCAGATAAGACGGGTACTGCTATATTTGTATTATGTACACACACTTTTACAGACATGTTCATACATCAGTTGAGTTTCAGTGATATCTGACCTTTGTCCTCGGATCTGTGGCCTCAGGTGTGATCGAGCGATGGGAGCTCCTGCAGGTGCAGTCGTGCAGCATGCCGCAGGATCTTCAGCAGTGGCACAAACTCAACTCTGACCTCTCTGATGTCATGGCATGGCTGAACGCTGTGATGCCTGAGCTAGAGAAACTTCAAACTCTACAGCCAAAAATCACCATCAGAGACATGGAGAGCAATATCCACAAACTAAAGGTACTGAGAGAGACATTTAAAGAGTGATAGAATCAGACACAAACAAAGTTAATAAAACAGTAAGCCACTTGAGAGAGTGCATGTACAGTATATTAATATGTGTGTTAATATTAATTTATATTAATATATAAAAAAAAATTCTTTTATAATGGTGTTCTTTTGAACTTTCGATTAATCAAAGAATCCTGAGGAAAAAAAAATGTATCATGGTTTCCACAAAAATATTAAGCAGCTGTTTTCAACATTCATAATAATAAGAAATGTTTCTTGAGCAGCAAATCAGCATATTAGAATGATTTCTGAAGGATCATGTGACACTGAAGACTGGAGTAATGGCTGCTGAGCATTCAGCTTTGCCATCACAGGAATAATTACATTATAAAATATATTAAAATCGAAAGCATGTTTTTATTGTAATAATTTTTCACAATATTATTTTTACTGTATTATTAGTCAAATAAATGCAGCTTTGCTGAGCATAAGAGACTTCTTTCAAAAACATTAAAACATTTTACAGACCCCAAACTTTTGAATGGTAGGGTATATTATTTAGGCATATACTGTATAGGTTCATTTTGTCATTTTGTTCTTTCATAAGGACATGCAGAGGACTTTTAACGGCTACAAATCAGTGATGATTGGTGTTAATCTCAGTGGACGGGGCTTCCAGCACGGAGACAGCACTGAGCTACGAGAACTGCGTGAGAGTCTGCAGTCAGCCAATCAGAAATGGGCACAGGCCTGTGTGGCCCTGGACAGCTGGGAACACCGACTGCATCAAGCACTCATGGAGTGTCAGGTGAGGAAAAACAAGCTTGCAAAGTCACACTGATACCAGAGTTCAGACAACACAGCAAAGTACCATGAGTGTTGTGTTTTGTTTTGTTGTGCAACTGCAACACAACATGTGTTTAGTAAGCACATGTCTGTGCACTCACAAACATTTGCACTTGTTACTTTTTGTGAAAAAGGTTTTATAAATGTTGGGTACATGTTCTTGAAGCTACAGTATACCATGACAGAGATGTATCAAAGGTCTAAAATGCCGGGGGGGGTATTCTCAGGGCCTATTTAAAAATTGTTTGCCATTTTTTTCAGTAACTTCCTGTAGGGCTTTTGTAAAGGTCCTGATATAGTGAAGCCTAAATCAAACACACAAGCACCATTTAATGAAGAGAAACTGAGACTCATCTGTGTATTCCGTTTTCTTTTTTCACAGGAGTTTCACGAGACTCTTCACTCTCTGCTGCTGTGGTTAGCTAAAGCAGAAAGCCAGCGCTACATGGTCAACATCCATGACCAAAACACAGACCTCAACATCCTGCAAGAGCATCAAGACACACTTAAGGTAGAATAGTGTGTTTACGATATATATATAAATGTTTACCTATGCATAAATAAAAAAAAATAAATAAAAAAAAAAGTAAATAAATAAATAAAATAAAATTAAAAAATCTAAACATGTACCCACAAAAATAATGATGTTTGATGAAAAAATCCGTTAAATCCATTTTAATAATAGCAATAACTGTTGAGTTGATAAAGTTGTTGTCTGTGCATAATAGGCTGTTCAGCAGGACTTACGGTCTCGTGAGAGGGAGGTGTTCTGCCTGCAGGAGATCTCCTCACAGATCCTGCTACAGGACCATGGAGAAGACACCCTGGAGGCCAAAGAGAAGGTTCACGTCATCAGCAACAAGTTACGACTGCTGATCAGACAAATCGCACATGACTTGCACACACTGCAAAGCAGACTGGTAAGTTTCATTCCGTCTCACACACTCAAGCACTCTTCAGGCCAGGCTGGTTTCACTCTCTCACACTGATGTGTTGATCCCTTCTGTTCTGTCGCAGGACTCTTCAGGTCTAGATGTGGGCAGGACAGCACCAACACAACACCAGGTACAAAAGCGCTCTCTCCATTAACACCCTGTTCAGACTGGAAATTGCAAGGATCTGACTTAGTTTCTGGTGAAATAAATTGGTGTTATTTACAGAGTCTGCTCTTGGGGAGTTAGGTTTTGAAAGTGACAGTAAATGAGGGTTTTCTAAGAATCTCTAGTCTGTTTTTATCATGCTTACTAGATGGTAACAAACACTGAGTTATTTTTCTTCTCTCTCTAGGAAGCCGCAGGAGTTGTTACACAGGGATCGCCCGCGAGTGACAGGTGCACGCTGTTCTAGACGTATATATATATATATATATGTTACTACGTGTCTGTGTTCAGTTGTGTGATTTTATAACCTAGCTGAGGTCGATGTCTTCTAGTACTCTCTTCACACTCTCTAGTTCTTCTCACTTTCACACATCTGCTCCGCTTTCACCATGTTTTTGAGAAAAAGTCTCTTATGCTTATTAAGGCTGCATTTATTTAATCAAAAATACAGTAAAACAATAATATTGTGAAATATAATTGCAGTTTAAAATACTATTTATACTATTATAATATATTTTTAAAGGTAATCTATTCCTTTGATGCAAAGCTGATTTTTCAGCAGCCATTACACCAGTCTTCAGTGTGACATGATCCTTCAGAAATCATTCTAAAATGCTGATATAGTGCTCAAGAAATATTATTATTAATGTTAAAAACCGTTGTTCTGCTTAATGTTTTTGTGGAAACCAGTTCAGGCTTCTTTGATGAATAAAAAGTAAAAAAGAAAAAAAAAATCAGAATCAGAAAGAGCTTTATTGCCAAGTGTCTTTACACACACAAGGAATTCGTCTTAGTGTCAGGAGCTTCCAGTACAAATTGTAACAATACAAAAGTCTTTACTGTCACTTTTGATCAGATGCATCCTTGTTGAATAAATGTTTATTTAAAAAATATGACAAAACCCAAACTTTTGAGCAGTAGTGTAAAACATCTACCCTTCCTAACTGTCTTTTCTGCAGGGCTGACATGTCTAATTCGTCCCCAGCGAGGCCGTTCCTATATCGTGTCCTGCGAGCGGCTTTCCCCCTCCACATCCTCTTCCTGCTGCTGCTGGTTGTGGCATGTCTGGTGCCTCTCTCAGAGGACGACTACAGCTGCACTCTCTCCAACAACTTTGCCCGATCCTTTTACCCCATGCTCCTCTACACCAACGGACCCCCACCCACATGAAAATTACCACACGTACCCTTCACTAACACACGGCCACAGCTGAATCACTAGAGGAAATAGGATGTAGTCCAAGCCTCCTGGTTAACTCTCCTGAAGCAGATCCTGTAGCTATGTTTAATCTGAGTGAAAGCCCTTGTGTTTGAGATTCAATAGATTTTCCTGCAACAATCAAATCCTGTTCCTGGATCTGAAGTCTGTTACACAGAGGGAGAGGGATTTTTCTCAAGCAATCCGAACCTTCTCTTCAGGAACCTTTCCTCATGATGTATATCTTAGAGAATGACAAGGATTCCTCATCAAAGGTGCACTCATTTTCTAACTGTATAGTATGTAGCAGCACATCCATTGAAACATTGAAATACTCCTTCACACAAATGCATTTATTTTTTAAATATGAATGATATGTAATTGAACCTATAGCTCACTCATAGGCTTGGAGTTGGCCTGTATTTTTTAACTAGAAGCCCTGTTTATATGTCTGAGTGACGGGACTTGCTTAAATATCAGTTATGTTCATACAGTGTCAAATTACTTGCAATGATGAATATGTTTTATTTGTAGCTCTCTTAGCTGCCATTTCTTGGTCAAAGCCATGGAGGAGAGACACAGAGAGGCATCAGGGTGTGTGCAAATGTAATAGTCTTTTAATTTATTCAGCCTAAAGTTTGGTGGCTGTGTTGATTTCGTATGTGTGAATATTGTAAAACTACTGAAATTATTTAATTATAATTGGTAAATGATCTCAGTGGAGATATAAATTATATCTGATTATGTTTTATAGATTATAACTAGAATTTTTCTGGCAGGAAAGTCTGGTGTCCAGATGTGTTTGTGTCTGGTGTGTTTTTTGCTGAATGGTTAAGGTGTTTCATGGAAACACATTTCAGAAGTATCCACATGATTGTATGTGGCTTTTTTAACCTACAGAAAGTCAGTTATGATGATAATAATATAGTGAAAAGGCCATTAGCCACTCTTTCACTCGTACTAACTGCCAAAGTGTCAGAGACTTTGTTTTATAATTCATTACGGTTACTAAAAGAGTGCTGTTTGTCCTGTTGTTTGTTTAATGTTTTTAATTGAATTGTTATAGTATGGATTACATTATGGGTCTACTGAAATAGACTATGAAATAAATATCCAGTAATCAATCACAGAAAAGACATTTACTTTATTATGAATTTATTTTGCAGCAAACCTTGCACTGCCAGTGTCAAACAATGGTTGAAGAGAATATAAAGTTAGATGTGATGTTTGTTTTGAAGTCAATTTTAATACAAATAAACATCATGTACAAATATGCAAGTGTTCACTATTTAATTCCCACATATTTATTTTGCAGCTGTATACAATATAAATGACTTTAGTTTTGTTACCTCTAGAAACTTACTGTTGTGTCACTGTATCATCAGTATTTTTCCCCCCCCGTTTAAAGCTGAAGTGTGTAATTTCTTTTCAGTTACCTCAGTTTAACCAGATAACTATAAGTAGGTTAATTCCACAAAAACTGTAAACACAGTGGAGCTATTAAAAAGCAAATTTGAGCATTTCAACCTGCTCATCCAATCGCATGAGTTTAGGACTGTGTTTGTCCAACCAATGGCAGACGAGGGAGTGTTTGGGAAAATGGTTCGAAAATGACTTTCATGCTGCGTTCCAAACAAGATAACCACCTCTGAAGGGCACTTCAGAAAGAAGAATTTCAAAGGGTACAACTGACACTGTGCGCCCATGATTTTTTGCACAGTTTTAAATATGTGACTACGACGCCTCCTTAATTTGCTTGGCAAGATGACGCAGAAGTGCACACCCTTCCTAGCGCTCACTCAGGAGGGTAAACCCTTCAAAGGGATAAGAACATTGGGACAAGCCCTTAAGGATAGAACGCAGCATTGTAATACTATTTGGTGACGTGTGCAGAAATTATACACTCAGCTTTAATTCCAGCTTCTTAGGACATTTCAGGTGCAGAAAGTTTTACACAAGGAATTGTGTCAGGATGCACCGTTACATGTAGCACCAGGAAAACTCAACTGCATCTGTAATTACACATTACAAAGTCACATTTTCAGAATGATACACTTTTCATATGTTGATTGTGCGTATAAGCCAGGCTTCAAGAAAACATCTGAAAGAGGCGCCAACACTCACAGATGTTTTAGAAAGTGTTACATTTACTGTCAATGACAAGTACTTTATAAACCACAAAAAGCACCACAGGACAGCAAATAACAGCACTCCAACATCTTACAAATACAAAGACACAGAGTACAAAACGCATAAACTATTAGAAGTGTGTGTTTCATTTAGCTTGGCCAGTCTTCAGAGAAACCGTCATTTTGAGTCAAAGGTTCTCAGACATCTTGGGATGGCAAAGAAAATGTTTAAATGTGCAGTGTGTACTTTCGACAATCTGTTTGAATGGCTCAAAAGGACACAACGTAACACTGGCTCATCCAATGGTGCGATTTAGGGGTGGTGGTGCTAGCTTTTTGCTGAGAAATGGCAGATGGGGGAGTGTTTGAAAGGATTCCATTTGTGATTTCTTGAATACTGAACACATGATTGGTTTGAATGAGGAGGATTCCTCTTCGGGTTGACATTACGGCATATAGAAAAACAACAGTTTAAACTGCATTGTGTTGAAGCAGGACTGAGCCATTTGAAAGCCCTGTTTGGTTCAGTTTGTCGCTGGTCATCTAAAGTTCTTTTTCCCAGGTCTGGTTTGTTTCCCCTGAGACCCTACATAGGATACGCGGCATGGAAATTGGATTCAAATCCAATGCTGGATCCAGGGAGCTTATCCCATCCATAGAAGGGATACTCACTGTCAGTCTGTGTCCATGTCCACTCGATGCGGACAACAATGTAATGTCTTATCCACTGTCTCTTCAGCTCTAGAGAGGCACACAAAATATGTGTTATCTTAGATTCGAAAACCTGTGTGAAAAGTGTAATTTTAAGAAATATATATAATGATTCATTTGATTGCACTAGTTGAAGGAATGTTCCAGGATCGGCATATTACAGTCTATTTAACGTAGTTTGTAAAACCGTATGAACAGGAAAGGACTAAATTTGCAAGCTTGGGGTCGGTAAGAGTTTTTTTTTTTTTTACATTTTTAAAAGGTTAACTTTTAAAAGGCTGCAGTTATTTGATCAAAAATACAGTAAAACCAGTAATAGTGTGAAATATTATTACAAGTTAAAGGTGCAGTAGGAGATCTTGGAAAATGCTAACTTTAGCCTGGTAGCACTGAAAGCGAACGTCCCACCCTCCCTGCAATCGCCGTCCAAAGCCATGCCCCCTTAACGCATTTACACTCACAGACCAGAATACCAGAGACAACATTACTACAATAGGCTACATTAGCGGTTCCCAATTCCAGCCCATGTTCCGAAGTGAAGTAAACTTCAACGGATTTCCCCCGCTCAGGGAGGAGGGAGCAATGAACACTGTCATATCGATCGGAACAGTTCATGCACGTAGCTCACTTCTAACGAGCTGGCGCGAGGACTGGATTAACCACTGGGCTACATCATGTCATTCACCGGTGAGAAAACTTGAAAAGTACTACAATACCAGGAAGGAAGATCGGATTGTTGATGTTTGTCTGCCATTCTCGCTCTGTCTGCACAGCGTGCGTGAACGCGCTGATGACGTATCCTGTCTGTGCGAACCGGGTGCGCAGAGGTATGCAGATACTTACGTTGCCAGGCAGGTAGGAAAGCCAATTAAAACGCTCGGACCGAGCGTTTTGATTGGACGAACATTTCTTTGTCCTACGTCTTCCACAGAATATATAAATACAGATAAATACATGTAGACCACTTAACTTAATGATTGGTATGGGGATGTGAAGAGACTTTCAACCAGCATAACAAAAAATGTTTCTGAAGACAATCACCTATTGCACCTTTAAAATAACTTTTTTATTTTAATATATTTCAAAATGCAATTTATTCCTGTGATGGCAAAGCTGAATTTTCAGCATCATTACATGATCATCCAGTCTTCAGTGTCACATGATCCTTCAGAGATCATTCTAATATGCTGATTTGCTGCTCAGGAAACATTTCTTATTATTATCAGTGTTGAAAATTGTTGTGCCGCTTAATATTTTGCGTAAACCATGATTCATTTTTTTCAGGATTTGTTGATGAAGAGAAAGTTTAAAAAACAGCATTTATTTGAAATAGAAATCTTTTCTAACAGTAAACTGATCTGCAACAAAATCAAAGTCTCTGCTGCCACTTTTGATCAATTTAATGCATCCTTGCTGAATAAAAGTATTAATTTATTTTCTTTTTTTTACTGACTGTTACCTTTTGATAAACTTGCGAGTGGATTTTTCACGAAATATGATTTCTGTATTACCAAAAACAGCACAATTCAACACAAGTGTGCATGTGTCCACTCACTGTGGACTGTGCCGGGACTCCTGGTCGCTCTGTCTGGATGTGTGGAGGATCTCTGTGGTCTGTTGTGTGTCCGACCGGAGAGAGGCTTCTGTGTGAGCTGCCAGAATCCGGCTGCTCTGGGACGTGTTGGCATCCAGCATCTCTAGCAGAAGATCATACAGCAGCACCACGTTTTTTCTCTTCATGGTTGACAGATGCTCAATGCCTTTGTTGCTGCAGACAACAGATGAAGAGAACAGTGAGCCAGTGACAGATGAGGGGAAAATTGAAACATGAAATGCTATGAAAGTCTAGAATACGGCCTCTGTGAGATCACAAACACAGTCTGCTGTGCTACCTGAGGTGTCGAATATGTGAGAGCAGCATCAGCAGATGGGCGAGCCGGATGGACTGCTGCTGTGAGGACAAGCCTGTTCTGGAGATGGTCCAAACTAGAGCGTCAGTCACAGAGTCCAGCAGCCTCAGAACCTTCCCACGGCTCTCCACATCTTCAGGAGTCTGTGGCAAGCTTGAACAGTTATCTGTTAATAAGCACACAAAAGGAGTAAAGCACAATATCTGATGCGGTTCAAGAGAAAACAGATCATTTTGTGACAATTTCAGTGAACAAATGTTACCGTCTAGACAATCTTTTCATAGAATCAGCAATCAGACTGCAGTTTTAACCCTGTAAAACCTTACATATGAAATAATGGATTATGTTTTGTATCAAATTTGATACATAAGGCTTTTATGGCTCATATAGTGTGATATAGTGAGAATAAGGAGCTCATATTCAAGGGAAAAAAGTTTCATTTTCACCTCAATTTTATTTAGAGGCCCAAACTGAGCAAAAATATGCGGTTTGGTGCAGATGTTATTTATATAACCAAAAAATAAAATGAAATTCTGATGGCTTGTAATGTAAATGTAATGTAAATCAATTATTTTTTCATAACAGTATAGCAGACTACTAAGCGCATAAAATATCGCTCTGTATCTCTAGATAATAGATCTTAGTAATATGATATTTAAAAGCTTAGTTTTATGATCAAAACATATAATGGCATGCAATACAATAATGAATAAGAGATGTACAAACAAACATTGATCATATTTTAAACTCAGATTTCAACACAATTTTTCTAAAAAATGATGTATGTATAATCAAATAAACCTAAGTTGCTTCAGCCTAGTAAATGTTCATCTTTAAATATTACTAACTATATAAAAGTTATTTTTGCAATTACTTTAGAAAAATCATTAAGGATTTTACAGCAAAAAGACGTGTACCACAACATTAAGGAGGACATGTTTACAATTGTACTAAAAGGTCTTTTATTTTGTTTTTCAATTGTTTTTCAATACTGCATGTTTTTCAGCAAAGTTTTGATCATGTTGATTATTTAAGGGGCCTTAGAATCTAGATATTCATATGTCAAATATGATATAGTAGGCTTTATAGGGTTAAAACACAAGAGGGCGGCATTGGCAGGAGACCACTGACCAGTCATGTAAATCAAAAGTTTCTGTTTTTGAACAACATGCTAAATATAGTTAGCATGTTGTAATTAGCATGCCCTACAGTTACATGAAGAAAAAACAAGATACAAACTGCATTTAAAAGGTTGGTTCACCCCAAATGAAAATTCTATCATTAATTACTCACCCTCATGTCGTTCCAAACCCGTAAGACCTTCGTTCATCTTCGGAACACAAATTAAGATATTTTTGATGAAATGTGAGAGCTCTCAGACCCTGCATAGACAGCAACGCAGCTGTAATGTTCCCAGGTCCAGAAACATAGCAAGGACATCGGTAAAACAGTCCATGTGACATCAGTGGCTCAACTTCAGCTTTGCGAAGCTACGAGAATACTTTTTGAGCGCAAAGGAAACAAAAATAATTTATATACAAAACAATTCTCTGAGTTACGTCTTCCGCCATTTTGGAGAGTACCCAAGAGCGTAATCGACGTAATCAGCATTGTTTATGTTCGAGGGAGAAAGCGCGCGCATGAACGTAATCTGCATAATCAGCGTTGTTTACGCTTAGGGGAACGCGTGCGTATGCGTTGTGATACTCTAAAATGTCGGAAGACCTATCTCGGGGGAGAAGAATAGTTGAAAAAATTATGTTCTTTTTGCTTTCTTTGCACTCAAAAAGTATTCTTGTAGCTTCGCAAAACTGAAATTGAGGCACTGATGTCACATGGACTGTTTTACCGATGTCCTTACTATCTTTCTGGACCTGGGAAAGGGTGAGTAATTAATGACAGAATTTTCATTTTGGGGTGAACTAACCCTTTAAGTCTCGCACAATAACGTACACACACACACAATCAGAGTAGTGTCATACTGGAGTTGAGAAGGATCATGGCTTTGAGACAGACGTATTCCTCTCTCTGGAGCTTCAGTTCTCTGAATCTGGAGGTGGTGGCCAGCAGCATGTCAAAGATCTCCATGATGCCTTCAACACAATTCCCTTCCTCCCTAAAAGATTTGAGAGAAAAAAGAGAGGGTATGAAACAGAGATAAAAGAGAAAAGGCCATAAATGTCTTGTGACTAATCACTCTGGAGCCAAGTAGCAATAATAATTCATTCATTCATTCATTAATAGAAAAAAACAGGTAAAGATAATACTAGCTAACATACACAGCTTATTTTGAATGAATACAGATGACCTTAAAGTGTCAGGTGAAAGACATAGGAAGTACTGTACACGCTGTCTCACACACTTTCTAATACACACACACTCAATCCTGTGTGAGAAATGAATAGTACAAACTAAGCTTGTGTTATGAGAACACACCAAGGTTTGTTAAGACCCTAGAGATAATCACTAAGGAAGAGGAATATTCAATTCCACACAAAATAATAAACAGGTATACACACACACACACACACACTCACTCCAGCCATGCATTCACAAAAGAGAACAAAAACAGATCATAACAAAAAAGGTGGCATCTCTCCACAATCAATTTTCTTAATTAATGTACTTTAAAATCTGTTCACACGTGTCACACAGTGAATGTACACACACACAAACACTGTGTACACTGGACACACAACAGAAGATTAGCTGAAGGTCAGTGAATAAATCCACTAAACATCAGTGTTTTTCAAATGTTACCATCAAGCAAGATATGAGCCAATCTCTCCCACTTAAGACGCCTTCAGATTTCAAACAATTCTAATCTAAAGAAGTCTACACATTGACAGCACAACTATTTTATGTTTTATGTTTATGACAGAAAAAAACACTGATCTGATTTAACAAATTCAATCACACTCAATCAAACTACACTTGTAGGTGGCTTTAAATCTGAATTTCAATTCAATTTCTGTTAATGGTGAGTTTGACCTGTTGAAATGTAAGCTTATTCTTAATCGTTCAGGTTTTGATATCATAGATCCCATGGCATAGCATAGAGAGACCAAACAAAAGGATATGTGTACCATTTTTTTATGCTATCAGCATACTGATGCTTTTCATACTGGCATATTTCTGATTCCAGTTGTTGTAGAAAAAGGTAACTTGGCATTGTGTTGAATGCTACTTGATTACTATAGCAACCAAAGTAGGTAAGCCAGAAAATGTCTGCTGGAATACACAGATCTGATATGAGCACATTGTGGACAGTCAGTAATAATGGTCGGAAAACGGCTCCTTCCACACACTCCAGCAGACGTTTTCTGACCAGTATTACTGACTGTCCACAATGTGCTCATATCAGATCTGTGTATTCCAGTGTCAGTGGGAGATGTTACCTGTTGAGTCTGAGGTCAGGTGAGAAGATGAGTTTCCCGGGATGATCCACAGATCTCCACATCAATCCCAACATAAGGATATCCAGCCAGCAGCATTCCAACAGATGTACCTGATCTGACAAAGTCAGCTCCACAAAACCTGTGAGAGGAGTAACAAACACACAGATGCCTTCCAGAACACACTCTGACACAGCTGCTGCCCTTCAAATACTGGATGTAAGTGCACATACACATACAGGTGCATCTCAATAAATTAGAATGTCATGGAAAAGTTTCATCACAATTAAAAGAACCAAAGACTTAAACTACTTCAGTCTGTGTGCATTGAATTTATTTAATACACGAGTTTCACAATTTGAGTTGAATTACTGAAATAAATGAACTTTTCCACGACATTCTAATTTATTGAGATGCACCTGTACACTCACACAAAATGATGCTTTTTATGCTTTTTGTCATTTCTGGAGCATGACAGCCCCTGCTCACCATTCACTTTCATTGAATGGAAAAGAGCAACATTCTGCTAAACTATTGCTAAACTATGTTTTTTTATTCCACAGGAGACCAAAAATCATACAGGTTTGGAACAACATGAGGGTGATTGAATGATGACTGAATCCCATTAACCTTTTAGAAATGACAAGAAATCAATTTGACGTAAATAAAAATAACAAATTAAAAAGCACTTTAAACTAAAAGTAAAAAATTAAAAAGCATACACAAAAGTAATATATGTACATATATTAAATTCCCATATATGAAATATTTTGTCATATGAAGAAAAAACATATATGAAAGCTAATAGAAACTGGGACAATTTCATATATTAATATACTGTATATATCAAGCCCATGCAAATATGTCTGTTTATGTATGTGCATACATACATGTCATGTGCATGCATATCTATCCTAAAACCCATCAATACATGCTGATATTATGTATGTAAATATAAAAGAAAATGTATTACAAAAACATATATAAACACAGGACTTTTTGAATATGTTGTTTTAATAAAGTTGCATATATATAAATAAAATATATATTGTTGACATATATAGTTGTAACATTATATTATCATATAAAAAATGTGTGTGCATATAAAAAAAACATATGTGCATATAAACATTTTATTATGGGTATTTTATATATTTTATAAACTTACATTTTCAGCTACCCACAGAAAGTACGTATGTGAACATATGTATCACCTTATAGGTAACACATATGGCTATATCACTCTCGATATAGGGCAACATAAGTCATATATTACATTTCCATATGGGAAAACGTACACATTGCTTAAAAAGTGCAATGTGTGATAACTTACGAATTAGGGGAACATTTAAAATATTTATATGAGCACACACACCTGGTATCTTCTTCGCCCAGCTGATCATGAGCACCAGTTCCTGGTCAGCGAGGTTGGTTAGTGACGTCATCATGCTGGCCTCGGTATACGGCTTGTTTATTGGCTCTCTCAGATAAATCTGAGGAGGCTCCGCCTCCAGAATACAGTTGACCAACTGCTCAGGGGAGAGGCCTAGGCCACGCCCCTCAGCTCTGTCCCCTGAAGGGAAGAAGTGAGTGGGATTGAGGGGAAATTCTAAATGATGCTGGGAACGACGCCTGACCCCTAATGCCCCATCTGAGCTGTCTCTGATCTGGGGGTTGCGTTGATGACGAGCACCACGGTAACTGCAGCGTTCCCGCCTCACACCTGTTCACACACACAATTACAAACACGCATCAAAAGCGCACACCGTCTTTACTTTAGGGACCAATTCTCACTATTCATTTAATTAGTTGCTTATTATCATGCATATTACTAGCATTTTGGCTGTTTATTAGAACTTATAAAGCACATATTAATGCCTTATCCTGCATATTTTAGATCCCTTAATCCGACCCCATACCTAAACCACATACCAAACAGCTACCTTACTAACTATTAATTAGCAGCAAATTAGGAGTTTATTAAGGCAGAAGTCATAGTTAATAGTTAGTTAATAGTGAGAATTGGTCCTCAAACTAATGTGTGACCAAAAATATATAAAGTATGACATATCTTTCCCTCTATATAAAATAAGTGGCTACACACAGAAAAGGAAGAGCCTTTTCACACCTACCACACTTCATCATGCCCACTTCATAGCACTTGCGGAGTCGACAGGCCTGGCAGCTCTTGCGTCGGCTCTTGTCAATGGTGCACTGATTGGTAGCTGGACAAATATAGTTATTGTGTCCTAAAGAAGATTGGGATAAAAAATTATATTAAGCTCACATCCTTCGATCTACAGTAAACGCCTTGGTTAAATTCAGCTTTTTAATGTCATCTCATTCTATTGTCTAAGATCATATTATTATTAGGGCTGTTAATTGATTCAAATATTTTTGCACTACACTGTAAAAAAATATTTTTTGGAAGACTATTGGACCATGTATTACAAGAAAATACTATTTCAGTCTTTCTACTTCAAAATATCATTTAATTCAATGTTACTTGCTATTTCTTTGTAATTGTTTATGAAATTTACTAGCAATTTCTGAGTGAAAATAGTTTCTACACCAATTTTATTTTATTTACTTTTTTGTATAAACTCATTTTTTTATGCGATTAACTTCCAGAAACAATAGCTTATATTAATAATCAATGTTTGAAATGTTACCTTTAGAAATTTTTTACACAATATAATGAAATACACACTATCGTTAAAAAGTTTGAAAGAAATTAATACTTTTTTTAGCAAGGATGCGTGTATAATGTTATAAAAATGTATAAATTTAGCAAATGTGACGTTTAATGTTACAAAAGACTTCTATTTCAAATAAATGCTGTTCTTTTGAACTTTTTTTAATCAAAGAATCATGAAAACAAATGTATCACGGTTTCCACAAAAATATTAAGCAGCACAACTGTTTTCAAAATTGATAATAATAAGAAACAGGGGTGTCACGTTATTTCTGAAGAATCATGTGACACTGAAGACTAGACTCACAATTCTGCTTTTCCATTGTAGAAATAAATTACATTTTAAAATATATTTCAATAGAAAAAAAATTATATATCCTTTTTTCATTAGAAATCACACTGAACAAAAAGAAACTGTTTAAGCGTCAAATTAAAAAGCTATAAGTAATACCAAAAGTTAAAAGTAATAATGGTAACACTTTACAATAAGGTTCAATTAGTTCATGTTATTTAATGTATTAACTAACATGAACAAACAATGAACAATACATTTATTACAGTATTTTTTCATTGTTAGTCCATGTTAATTCACAGTGCATTAACTAAGCACAACTTTTGATTTAAATAATGCATTAGTAAACGTTAAAATTAACATTAAGAAGTATTGTTCATTCTTAGTTCATGTTAACTAAAGTAGTTAACTAATGTTAGCTAATGAACCTTATTGTAAAGTGATACCGTAGTAATAATAAAAACATTACACTTCTAATCACACACATTGACTTCTATCTGATGTTTGCAAAATCTAAATGACAAAATATTCCTCTAGAATCTATTTTTTTCAATAAAGTAATCCTTGGAGATATTAGTAGGAACATCACAAACTGACCAGGGAATTAATTTTTTGCACAGAATTAATGTAATCTGTGATAAGATTTACCGATTAAGTCGGTTAAAAAATAAAATACTGTGTGGTTTTTACTGAGATTTAGTATTTGTAAAAACATATGTGTTTTTACCTTGAATGCTCCGTTTGAAGAAAGCCTTGCACCCTTCACATGACCAGACACCATAGTGATACCCAGAGGCGTAGTCATGACACACCGCACAGAAGTGTGTGTCTCTTTTACCCACAATGCCTGGTGAAGGATTCAAGCCATCATCACCATCCAGTTGCTGCCCTAACAGCTTTGCATGAGTAAGGACAGAACTATAAAAGATGAAGGTACAGATAAAGTAAAAAGAGAAGAAGAATTTTCTTCCACAAGAAGACATTTTTTGACATTTTCTAAAGAAAACGTGGTTGAGTGGTGCTTGCTGTGTGAAACTAGTTTTTATTCATATTTTGAATTTGCTTTTATTTTTATATATTCAATTTTCATTTTAAATTCAGTTTTAGTCATTTTGTTGATTTTATCAGTTTTTATCAGTTTTAATATTCATGAAATATCATTTCAGTTTTAGTTATTTTAGTATATCAAGTTTAAAAAATAGGAAGAAAACGCAAAAAAAAATAGAAATGTTGCTTTACCGACTAGCTGACATAAAACTATTTTTTTATATTTTATTTGAATTCAGGTAATTGCCCAGGTGCAACAAACCCAGCTAAGAAAATCCAGACAATTTTTATTACTATTTAAATTGATCATTTTTATTTGCTTTTTAGCCCCTTTGTGATAATATCCTTTTTAAATATTTATTTGGTTGGTTGGTCCTGTTCATAATTTAGATCGATTTTACAAAGTTAATTTGTGTCAGGAACATCAAAAACATCATAGAACACATTTTTTACGTTAATTAATATTTTACATGATAGCCCTTAATGCATTTTTATGTTAATTTATTTATTTCGTATAATAGTCTGCTTATTTTGCTGAGCTAACTATGCACAATTATAAGTGAATTTTCCCATTTGCATTTAGAATAATTTCTTCCCCGCTGTTTGCGATCCTATCAGAACAGACCTGAACAGACCCTTTTTTATTGACCCTTTCACCTGTTTTATTGTCTACCCTGCGAAAAATCTGATTAGAAAAGAAATATCATGTATCTGCTCAAAAAGTTGCATGATTTACAATACTGTAACAAGCACCTCAAGACAAAACGAAAAGAAAAGAAAAGAAAATAAAAGAAAAGAAAAGAAAGCATTTCATGTGATCACAGGGCTGTTATTGTCTCTATGGCAACTGAACTATCCATTTGTCAGCTGCTACTTGGAGTTTAAATGCATATATCAGTTATTAATACACTGCATGTGATGTCTATGACTGGATTCTCACCTGCTCTGGTTAAGCGCGTGTGTCTTGGCGTCCTCCCAGGCAGTGTGTGAATGTGTTTCGCTGTAGGCCAGTGGAGGTGGGCAGTGCAGAGACAGTGCAGTGTGTGTGGTGTAGGGAGGCCAGAAGATTGTCGGACTGAGCGGGACCAGGCTTTCAGACACGGGGGGATGAGGGTACCCCAGCACTGTGGAGGACACGGGGCTGTAGAGCGTTAAGGCTCCATGGCTGATCTCTCCCCCATGCGGTGGTGAATAATCCTGACAGGCTTCCACATACAGAGATGGAATGCAGACGGTCTGGTTGTCCATGCCGAGTGGGGAAGTGTAGAGACGGGGTAAGGTGTTAGACAAGTCCCCTCGATTGGCCTTGCCAGAGTCCAGGGCAGGGGAGGCTGACGCAGGGGCCGGACCAGGGGAGGAGCTCATTCTGGAGAACTCAAGCGAGGTCCTGGCTTGACAGACTTCTGCATCATAGGCCCAACTGTGTCAGAGGACATTCTTGCTGAAGGACACAAAAAAGGAAGTCAGATCCTGAGAGATATTAGAATAACGCTTACACCCCCAGCATGTTAAGCACACAGTAAGTTCAAAAGTTTGGGGTCAGTATGTTTTTTTTTTAAGAAATACTTTTTTTTTTTTTTTACTATCGTTTTTGATCAGATCAATGCATCCTTGCTGAATAAAAAAGTATTAATTTCTTTAGAGAGAAAAAACGGACCCATACTGACCCCAAACTTTTGAACAGATCATGTGACACTGAAGACTGGAGTAATGGCTGCTGAAAATTCAGCTTTGCCATCACAGGAATAAATACAATTTTACAATACATTAAAACAGGGAAAAAAATTAATTGTAATAATATTTCACAATGTTGCTGGTTTTACCATATTTTTGACTAACTAACTAAATGCAGCCTTGGTGAGCGTAAGACATTAAAAAATCTTACCAACCCCAAATTTTGAACTGTAGTGTACATATTGCACAAACCTTTAAGGGGTTAGTTCACTTCCAGAATAAAAATTTCCTGATAATTTCTCACCCCCATGTCATCCAAGATGTTCATGTGTTCTGTGATTCTGATCTAATATAGAGACATATTATGAATAAAGAAAGACCCACATGCACACACTATTCTCTGGTTTTTTGAGTAGGGCAGGTTTAATTTTCACCACTTGGAGTGGGAGATTTTGTGTGGAATTCTTTGTGTGTGCTTGTAGCAGTGTGTACAAGGAGAAAAAAACGGCTTTATGTGTTATTTCAAAGTCCATTTCCAGTCCATTTTCTGTTACATTTATGGACATTTCCTCAACCTTAAAAAAACCTACACAATGGAATGCCTAATTTAAAATACCAATAAACCACCTGTAAAAAAAACTGTAAGGAAATTTACTTCTTTTTAAATATAAAAATGCACCTTAAACATTATTTGACACATAATCATTTTATTTTTGAAGAATGGTCTCCCACACACATACACACACACAGGCTCTCTTGAGAATTCTCATAGTCTAGTTGTTCATCTCTGGTTTCAGTGTTACATAAAGCACAGTGGACTCTGGATCTTTGTGACAAACTGTTTAAAAGAACTTTCTCCTCTGCATCTCTTACTAAATAAACATTTGAATCAAAACCAATGCTGACCTGACGTGCCTCTACTGTATGCTCCATTAACCGGCCTTCTACAAGTTATAGACTCTTCTAAAAGTTCTACACTATTATGAAAGTGACAAATTCCTCTTAAAGTTATAGACACCTTTACTAACTTTCAAACAGAAGTCTTTGAAACTGATTTGAAATCTGTACCGTACTGTACTGTACTGTATTTCTTTGGACAGTCATCAGTAGAATATTAAAGCCTCAGTCACAAGTAAATTATTCACAGGCTCATTCCCCTAAAAAAACACTTAATCAAAGCATTTATCCTGTCTGGTTTGGTGTGATGAGTCCCCCAGAAGAGAGCAGTGTAACCCACCACAGAGACTATTTACCTCCCTCTACACTGTCTCACTTCATGTACTTTGGACAGATTTAGAAAAAATTTTATCATGTTCCTCTGTGACGTTTTTCTATCTTTCCAGTCACTTTTTCAGAGAAAATTTGTAAAAGGAAGTGCATCTGCTAATACAACTAGGAAAAACAGGCATACTGTATTGTTTTATGTTGCCTGCCAAGATTTGTTTCTGGAAAAAAACAATGAAAATCACAAACAGGTTTAAAATCATGAAAGGAAATATCCATATTTAAGACTTTATAAACTGTAATCTCTAGCTTCTGCTAACTGTCGTACGCGCGCATTCACTAGAGAGTGGCGTTCCAGCGGATGACACAGGACGTATTTTTTATTGTAACTCCGATTGTTTTCGTCTAAAAGAAGAAAGTCATATACACCTAGGATGGCTTGAGGGTGAGTAAATCATGGGGGTAATTTTCATTTTTGGGTGAACTATCCCTTTAATATCTTAAGTAATGTTGCTTCCCAAGTAAATGTATCTTGATTTAAGAATGTTTAAATATTTTTACTGGAAAACAAGACAAAGGAATAAGAAAATCATGTTTTTTTAAGCCATCACCAAATAATGTAAGTGTGTCTAAAACAATGTCTAAAATCCTTTACAGAGAATCATTACAGAGACTATTTTGAGTAATTCTCAAAAGTTCAAAATATTTTCTATACGTTTTCATGCAGGTGAAATGAAATCACTCAAAGACTATTCATTTAGTTCATAATTTTATGAGCATTTCTATTAATTATGTGTGAGAGTTTATGTAAAATGTTTTGAAAAATCTACAAACAAACACACAAAACTACAAACTTTACTTTAATACCCAGCATTCCCTGTTCTCTAGGCTAAAGGGAATCTGTGGGTCTTGGGTCAGAGATCTGGCCCACTGTCTCAGTAAACACAAAGAGTAAAGGTGAGACATTGCTGTGCCAACATTATTACTGAGACAACTCATGAAACATTGTGTTCTGTCTGAAAGAAGAACACACATCCATAAAGAATATACCCGGAAACATTACTCTGAACATTCTCTGTAAATACAGACATGTTAAAGCACACCGAACACGTACATTAAACCAGCACTAATAAACACACCAGCATGTGACTAACTACTGAAATGAGGAGGCAAAGTCCACTCTCTGGGTTTAATCTGAGTGTTGACAACAAATAAAATATGATAACAACTACATTAATCAATAAATCAATTAATACATACAAATAAACATTTCATAAGAATTAAGAAATCTCTTATGCTTATGAAATATTATAATTTAAAATAACTATTTTTTGTTCTATTTTAATTTTTTTTTTTAATTATAATAATATTTTTTTCTTCCAGTGATGGAAAAGCTGAATTATCAGCAGCCATTACTCCAGACTTCAGTGTCACATGATCCTTCAGAAAACATCAGCTCAACTAATATTTATTATTATCATGAGAGTTGAAAACAGTCATGCTGCTTATTATTTTTGTGGAAACCGTGAAACATTTATTTCAGGATTTTTTGATAAAAAAGAAAGTTCAAAAGAACAGCATCTATTTGAAATAAAAATCATTTGTAACATTGTAAATGCCTTCACTTTTGACTAATTTATTGCATTCTTGCTGAATAAAAGAATAGTTTTAAAATAAAAACTCACTGCCCTTAAACTTTTGTTAAGATGTTCATGCTACTGACGGAGAATTGTTAAAAAATAATTTAATAGGGAATTCACTCATAAGAAACAAATCTGGCTAATGAAAAATGTTACATTTTAAGCAACTAGATATTCACTACAGTAATGCTCATTGTTTTTCCATGGCTTTTGAACATTTCTATAGCCTAATAATTCCAGGCCTGGAAATCACAATTTGAAAACCATCTGAACCCTGGAACTGAACTTTAACATTCCATATGAGCACCACCACTATACCAGTCTTGAGTAGGTGCACTATTAATAATAATAAAGCATTTTATTTATCATGCGCTTTTCTTCAACCCAAAGCGCTATTGTTCAAGCCACAACGCTGAAACGCCATATACGTTTTTTCAATTTTGCCATTAAATTTATTTAACACTTTAGGACCTCTGTGAGAATAATATAAGTTCAAAGGAGGCAGAGACGCTGCTTTTACCTTTATCTGCTGCTGTCTCTACTGAAAAGTGTTACTTTATGGGGGAAAATGTGGTTTATACACTATTTGGCTTCATAATTCATAATATTTGCTTTGTTTTATTGCTATAGTGTTGATTGTTGTCTTAAAAAGACTGCTTGGACAAACACTCCTGACAAACACACTGGAATATGATACACACACGTGTGCAACAGATGGTCTAAGTACAAGAGCACAAAAAATCTATTAAAATAAAGAGACTGCTCCTTACATTTCACCATATAAAAATCACACACGCAACCAAACCAAAAGTTTATTTTTATAATACTTATAATAACAATTTTATATATTTTTAAGTACGGTCACGTATACTAAAGCAACTTTTCAATCTAAATGTCATTGGAAGACAGAGAAACTTAAGCACTTTCCTACTGCCACTCTTGTAAAGCTCCGATTGGCTACAATCCAGACACACATACCACTGAACAAAAGGCCAAGGACAGGACGAAGGAACACCTACACATAACACACACAGTCCCTGGGAGAAATTTTCTCCATCCTAATAAGGTCCTCCTGCCAACTTTAAATTTCTTTGAACTTACACAAGAATTAATTTTCCATTTATTTCACATCGGCAACATGAAGGCTAACATCACCCCACTAAATGAGCCTTATAGTGAACCTACATACAAATAATTATGCACACACATTTGCCTGGCTTAGCGAGATGTTGAAAATGTCTGTGAAGACATCAGTTTTTTGTCACAAATGTCTTACACAAAAGACATTTGTGTATATAAGCACATTCTTTACGCTTGAAACCACTCCGATCCCTGACACCATTCATGCTCTCCTAATTGAGACTCACTTCTTTTTCAGGGAGTGACGGATGATAAGAAAAGCTGGCCTTCTAAAGTCCCAGACAGAGTTCTCCGGTGCAAAAAAAATGCAAATAATAAGAGGGAGAGATTTAGATAGCATGATTTCTGAGATTACTATATCACACAGACTGATTACAGTCTATAAAGTTTGATCCAATCCTCCTATCAGTGGTCACACAAGCCAACAAACCTGTCAACAGAACAGTCCACTCGCGTATGTGTGTGTTTCTGCTAAGACCACGGCTAAAACCTCCCGCTGCAAACCCAAAAACCAGCAATATCTCCTTTTAAATGCTAAAATGTCATTACACATCAGGTAGTTCCTTTCATTAAAACAATATTAATAGATTTTACAGGAATTCAAAGTAAACACAGCAAATAATTTTTTCTTGCATATGTTACGGTAATAATAGACTAGTGTTGCAATACATGGATGAATATTCATTTTAAAAGGGTGCAGTCTGTAGCATCAGCACAAATACCACCGATTTTTAATAACAGGCCATTATGTTTAGTATGATTTCTCATCCATTGCTCAAGAGTACAAGGACCTCTGTCTAAAATGATAAACAGTGTTTCTTCTCCTCCTTCACATTCCCTAGGGTGTCTCCCTTCAACAAAACACAGCGAAAATCCATTTCTGAACTTTTGTAAAGTTTTGTTGTGGGTTTAATTTTAGGTACATGAACTTAAGAGATCATGTGTCCCAGCAATTTATAGTATGTTTGATATGTCAGGGAATTTTAAAAAGGTAAATAACTTGGTGAACTTTAAAAAAGGTAAATAACTGATGAAGCTATGATGAATATGAGTCTGTACAAAATGAGGGACAGAGAGAAGAACGAAAGAGAATGTACAGGTGGTCATCAGTGTGAAAAATGTTTTGTCAAGTAACCAAGTAGCATCTGAGATTTTAAAATAACTCAAAACATGAATACAAAACCCTAACAGATGGTCATGTTAACACCATACTTAACGAATATGTTATTTGAAACACTTTCTTTTTGTTATTTTAAAGGGGTCATATGATGCGATTTCAATTTTTCCTTTCTCTTTGGAGTGTTACAAGCTCTTGGTGCATAAAGAAGATCTGTAAAGTTGCAAAGACTAAAGTCTCAAATCCAAAGAGATATTCTTTATAAAAGTTAAGAGTCAGCCACACCTACCTAAAACGGCTCGTTCTAACATGCCCCCAAATGTCTACATCACTATGTGGGAAGATTTGAACACCGCCCAAATGTTCACGCAAAGAAAGGCGGAACAGTATGTGGAAAATAATGTGTTTTTTGAACCTTAAACCGCATAAACACATTTCATTACACCAAATACACCAAATAATGTTCTTTTTAGCAGCATCATATGCCCCCTTTAAAGTGATTGATAAATTACACCATTCAGGTGGTGGTCTGTTATCCTGTCTTTGTCTAAACACCCTATTTCATGATTTCCTTCTTTCATTGAACTCATGCCCCCTAAAACCCCTCATTTCTCTTATCACTAATGTCATTATAATCTTATCACGATCAACATTGAGTAATAGACTGTGTTTGTGCAGGGCCAATAAACACAGTCTGCAAAAAGTCTAGAACGTGACACCAGCAGACACATAATAATCACCTGAAATGCACTGTATAAATTCAATACAACAGTAATGGCACTGCTTTTATTACCGAACTTGTAAAAGTTATTACATCTTTTTTTCTTTCTTTTTTTTATCAATGGCCTAAACTAGATAAGGATTTTTTTTGATGCACATATATTTGTTTTTATTTTTTATTGTATAGAAAGAAGGATGAAAACAGATTTATTTGTTTGTTTGTTTGGGGGGCGCTTTGCTTTTCTAATTTATTAAAAATAATTTTAAAACATGTTTATACTTTTTTATGTGACATTATCTAGCACCCCCTTGTGGCTCTTTTGGGGTCCCCGGGCAAGTACATTGAAGCACACTCGGGTCGTCACCTAAACATCAAATCATAAAAACTTCATATTCATATCACCTCATTCATCCATTGTAACAAGTTTCATAAAGGTTTTTTTTTAAACGAGCATCATATTGGCATTTGTTAGCCATAAACAAAAAGGTTTAAAGTTTAACAACGTCAGGTTTACTAAAACTTTTGTCTCACATGAACACTAACAATTCACGCGCTGATTTCCTTTACAAAAAAATACAATGGTGGTAACCATAGCTTCCAGCAAAATACCTGAGTTACTATAGTTACTGTCACTGTCACTTGCGTAAAATCATAATAGCCTACATTAATCCTTCAAACAGTGTAAGAAGCTTTGAGTATCTCTTTCATTTGGTTCAGTTCCTGTTTTGAAGACAGTGGCAACTAGCACCAAGTTAGCACATTTTTAGTGACAGAAACTATAGTTACCGTTTTAGTAAGGTTAGTTACAAATAGCACTTACCGACAGCAGGCAGCAGGTAGCAGGTGATGAGAGCTAGAGAGCAGAGAACTGTTTGATCAGCTGTGAAAGCGCTGCGCAGCCGTATCGACCTGATTTACTGCGCGCACAAAGAGAAAGAACAGCACTGAAGTAAGCGACAGACGCAACATAGAAAGAGAGAGGCATGCAAACACCTGGTAGCGCACTTTGCCTGGTTGTACTTTGGCAAAATTCTGTCTTTGGATATAAAGATTAGAAAAACGCGTCACTGGCAGCCGCGCCCTCCCGGAGCCGCCCCTAAATTTACTGCATGAGGCAGAGATTTACAAGTTAAGACAAACAACAAGACTATAGGAAATTAATTACCATATCAAACCACTCTTCACCATATCCATGGTCAAAGTTCAGGGTGACTAGCTTCCACCAGAATTTAGTAGAAAATATATTGCTATATATATTGCACAATATTAAAAGATAAAATGTAATATTAAAAAATATATATTTGAGAGAAAAAACACAGTATATGTCACTCATTTTGTACTGACAATTGAATGCAGCATCACGTAAAAGTTTTCAGTTACCAATGATGTTGTAGAAAAGCAGTTTTATTTGTTATTTTATACATAGCCTATTTAATTTTTGACAGGAATGAAAACAAGGCTGTGAGAGATTTAACAGGATTGTACGGTTGTTTAATATGCAAACTGTTCAGCTAAACACAGCGTCGGCGACACGGGGGGCGGGGGCTGAGGGGGCCCGGCCCGGCCACCTCGGTCACTGTGCCCCCTCACCTCTGGTGCCGTCTCCGTAGTGGGCGCCCTGATTTTAGTCGGTGAGGCAAGGTACTGCCTTGGGAAGATTTCCCAGGCTGTTAAACACACAGATTAAAAGCGAAATGTTTTCGTTTCGGTTCGTTCTTAGCAAAGCTTTGTAAAAATCGATGCGTTTCAGAAAGGCGGGGCATAGAGGAGAAACAATAATGTACAGTATGTGGAAAATAATGTGTTTTTTTAACCTTAAACCGCATAAACACATTTCCTTACACCAAATACACAAAATAATGTTCTTTTTAAAAACATCATATGACCCTTTTAAGGCAAGTCGTTTCACTCGGCAGCCATCTTTGAAACGCCTCTCGGGCATGCAAGTGCAGCTCCTATCCCTTTGAATGGAAACATCAAATCCACCAAAACTGTTCACCAAGCTTACAATTAAATTTCATATTTGAAATCTCCAATGAAATCTGACAACTGTCTCTTAAATGTTGTTTAGTTTGCATTAAAAAGGTTTATTATTCAGGCTAGACCAGTGTGCATGCGCAGTCCTAAGCACGCATCTCCAGAATGCTGACTGTTTCTATAACAACTGGGACAGCTGCAGTGACGCGTGACTTTACAGATTAGCGATTGGCTCTTTTATTCAGAAGGCGGGGCTTCCTTTGATAGAGTGGCCATATTGAGCATTGCATTTTTCCCAATTCAAAACCATATGAGTGACGTCTTTGCTAAGGTCTATTGAACAAAGAATTAACAGGTGCAGTTTCTCATTCAAACTTTTTTCAACTAATTTTTCTCCAGATCAATTTATCCTACATAATGGAATTTTCTCACTTTCTTTCAGTCCACCCCATCCTCCCTCAACCCAAGTTTGTTTTCAAAAACCTTTTTTTTTTTTGTGAAGTCATCTGCAAATCTTGTTATTTCTTCATTGTCCAATAAGGCAGGTCGGCTCCAATTCAAGGCAATAGCGAAACACAAGCCGGAACAGGACACAAATTAAAGAACCGTGTGTTCCTTTTCAAGACCTCTCCACGCTCTTTCATTTGCTGGGAACTGAGTTGAGAGTGAGAGCATGTGAGAGAAAGAGGGGGCAATGAGTTGAATTTTTCGTTCTGTCATATGCTGGTTATTCCGCTTCTCGGCAGGCGAGGTTTAATTTTGCAGAATGCCCTTCGTAATAGTTTCTGAATTACAGTTATTTCTCCAACTGGTTTCCGTACGGCAGCAGTAATGGCAAATGCCAGGTGGAGTGGGCAGAGCTGGGTTTTAGGAGAGTCCATTATCTCCTGTAATAGCCAACCGGTGGAAAAATGAGCTGGCATTCACTTTCCAAAATGGATCTGTTGGTTAGTTCAGTCAATGGCTCAGGGGAGATACAGTATTTCAATAGATAACTGGGTACCCCAGTATTACATCCCAGCTCTTCATTTAAACCAGTTTAGCTCTAGTCTTAACGTTATAAGAGAGGTGTACAGAAATATAGAGAAGAAGGAAAAAGAGAAAAGGAAATGGAAAAAAAGATGATAAAAGCGTTTCAGACTTTGACAAATGACTACCAGCAACTGGGAGCTGTCAAACTGGGTCTGGGATTTGGTTCCATGTCCTAATGGAGTTTTTATAATGCCCTGTTGCCTAATTCTGCACAAATGAAACATTTTCATAAAGGTTTTGCCAAAGTCTGTTGCTCAGATTATTTTCAGGCTCAAAATTATTTGTGAATTTATACACAAGTAGAAAAACTGATCTAACATCAGATTCTTGATTGTCAGACAGTTACAGCTGGAGCTGCTAGATTATCTCAAATTTCCAGGAGAGTAATTTAAAACTGTTTGCTTAAATACTTCAATTTTAATGTTTTCAGTTCAAAGACTTGAATCCATCAAGTCAGCTACGAAAAAAAAGACTTGTTTTAAGGTTGCAGTGTCCGTGAACTGGCTGGTTAAAGACCTTCTCTTGTATGAATAAGAGACTGCACTCAAACCTTCTGTCTCTAAAAAAGAGCAACACACACTCTCTTTTGGAATAAAGCACCCTTTTACCAAGGCCAGAAGTCAGTCCTGCTTCTCTTTCCTGTTTCTTCACTTTTTGTAATGCCATAACATTGTAGCTGCTGCTTTTCTCACTTTTATTACATTTAGTCATTTAGGTATAATCATTTAAGATATGATTTTTTTCCAAAGTGACTTACAGTACACAAATGAGGACAAGCACAAGCAATTTGTCATACAAAAGCTAATGTCATTAGCATTAGCAGTACCTTAACACCAGATTTCAAGATTAAACCAGATAAGTACAAAAGTTAGAGCAAAAATGTATTTACTTTTGTTTATGGTTATGATTTAAATGCTCAGAGAAGTGGTGTGTCTTCAGCCTTGAAGATTGTGATGGTCAAATGGAGGTGGAGAAACTGGATGGTACCATCAAGCATCTGCTGAATCACTAAACACAGAAGACGGGAAGGAACATCAACCAAGCTTCAGTTGGAAACTGCAGTGAATCGTATGTGTAGGTACTTTTTGGAGTTTAGAGGCACGTTTTTCCAATGAGCCTGTGTTGGACAGTTCTATTGTTTTTACTGCACTAATAGGTTTAAGTTTCTTAAGCAGAGCCGTTATCTGAGGCCACTTAAATATGATGAGGAAAGATGCTAGTAGTAAGACATGTGTTGATGAATGCTGGAGAAATAACATGTAAAAGATGTTTAAAGGTGATAGGGTGGTTAGAGAGAAGGACTTTGGAGACATCAATCTCCTTGAGAGGAAAGAAAGAGGAGAAAAGAGGATTGCGTGTGAATGCTCATGACATTGCTGGTGCTTGTTTGAGGGATCTACACACATTTCAGGAATGGACTGTGTTTTTACTGATTCAACACTTTGTTTACAAGTTTGTTTACTCCTACTTTTGTGAACTTATAGTGTCAATTGAATACAAAGTGTAGCAAAGTGTAGTTTGATTATAATGGGAGCAATCTAAATTTGAGTTGTTGCTTTGCATTGTCACACACTCCCTGGATTTTGATGTTATTGTTTCATGGTTCAAAGTCAGGGTGCTTAAAGTCACCATAAAATCAAAACTGACAATTCTTATTTTTTTTATGGAATATCATGACAAGAGCTCGCAGCAATTACCAAACGACAATGACCCAATTAATTCCCAATGGACAAAATCATGTCGCGCCCACATTGAGCTGTTCTGCTCGGATATACGTTACAATAAGGACAAAAATAAATAAATTTGCATGCTAATTTTAAAGTTGCACTGTAACAGTATTAGTGATTAGCGATATTTTCCTTTGTACATCAAAAGGAAAAAGTCACTTTCCAAAACCTTCACCCTTTCTGTTCAATGCATAAAAAAAAATGTAGGGCGGAGTCTTGGTTTAATCCATCCGTTGTTGATTGGCTGGAGACAGATGTGAATGTGAGCTTGTAGTCGATTGTAAGAAAGGGGCAGACTAAATATTTGAGAAGGGTCTGGCTGCAGCCTTGCACTTGCACTCTCAGACTTGCATTCTCAGACACTTGCGCTTCCGCTAGCGACGTCACTTGCAGTCTTTTATTTTTTTATTTTGTTCTATTTATTGATGACTTTTTGTTTGAATCTCTCAACATTTTACAACAGTAGCCAGGTGGTGAAGACAAGAAAAAATAAACTAAATTACAGTGTCACTTGCAATCACCACTTGCACTCTCCGCTACCTGCGACGTCACTTGCAATCGACACAAATCGTGCGTGTTGCCAATGGAGACAAGAAGCTGTAGTGGTGATTAAATGATTAAAACTAATTTAGTACTATAACATACAAGGTCCTGCAAGAAAAAAAAAATACCCATGGACACAGAACAGCAGAATATGAACGCAATGCACAAAGTCTCTCGTTAAGCATTTTCCTCCTGTAGAAAAACATAAACACTTAACATGGCATAATGTATTAAGATACACTGTTCAATTAAAAAATCTAATTCGATATATAGTTATTATTTAATGTACTACAAGGCAAACAGATGGCTATGAACACAATGCGCAAACTTTCACTTGTCCTCCCATACAGCAAAACGCTTAATGTGGCATAATAACGGACTAAGATGATAAAGACAATTCAGTAGGCCTAGCCTATATGTCTTGTTGTTGACTCAAAGTATATACAGAACAGCAAATATGAACGTGCATTATGAAATGCATTAAGTGATTTTAAAAGGATCAACTCCGTACAGGCAAGCAGACGAGCCCAGAACGCAATGCATTAAATTGCACGTTAAAAATTTTCCT